GATGAGAACAGAAATTGCACGACGGCGGGAGGCCCCATTAGCTAAAGTGGTGCTTCAGGTTAAGAACAGTTTCAGGTTAAGAACAGACCTCCAGAATGAATTAAGTTCTTAACCCGAAATACCACTGTACTTTAAAAAAAAATCAATGGATATTAATACTGAATTTCACTATGTGTATAGATTACTATAAATATGAATTTAGGAATCACCTTGTATGAGACTTCTCGAAGCAATTTCAAACATATAGGGCAGGATTCAGCTAACAGATCCTGCTAGCAGAAGCCCACGAAGGACTTTTGCTAGTGCAATGGGGCTTCCCCCCACTTTCCTCCCTGCTCATAACCCCCCATGCCCATCCAAATTGACTTGTGGAGGGAAGAACCCCCCAAACAGCCCATGTTTTCCTCTGTATTTTTCATATTGATGAAAAATTTGGTGTGGCACGAACGAATTTTTATTCTGAAAGTGTGGCTCAGAGAAAAAAGTTTGAGAACCATCAGTTTCAGTGAGTTTGCACTGAGTAAATGCTAGTCGAAAGCAAGTCATATAAAACAATTTTGCACATGTATGTTGAGTCAGCATGGTGCAGTGATCAGAGGTGTCAGAATAGGCCCTGAGAGGCCCTGGAAAGAATACAGTGGTACCTCGGGTTACATACGCTTCAGGTTACATACGCTTCAGGTTACAGACTCTGCTAACCCAGAAATAGTACCTCGGGTTAAGAACTTTGCTTCAGGATGAGAACAGAAATCGTGTGGTGGCAGTGGGAGGCCCCATTAGCTAAAGTGGTGCTTCAGGTTAAGAACAGTTTCAGGTTAAGAACGGACCTCCGGAACGAATTAAGTTCTTAACCCAAGGTACCACTGTACATTGAAAGAGCAACCCTGGTGTTAATAGGCAGGCCGTAAATAAATTGTGAGGGCTCACAATCAATAATCATTGCAGTTCTCACAGCCTTACCACGCAGAGAAGCTATTATATTTGTCAGCACCCATATTATCTGTTTTTCATACGTGCAATCAGTGGGAGCAATCGAAACTGGTTCTGTAACTGTGTGCATTTCTGCAGCTTTCCAAATATTAACGAGCCATTCTTTAATCACGGGATGAGCCATCTTCAAATATCTCAAGAGCTGGCACACAGAAGATGGGGCAAGCTTGTTTTCTCCTGCTCTGGAAGATAGGACTCGAACCGAGTTACATGAAAGGAGATTCTGGCTAACTTTCTGGCAGCAAGAGCTGTTTGATAGTGGAACAGTCTCCCTCGGCAGGTTGCGGACTCTCCTTCCTTGGAGGTTTTTAAGCAGAGGTTGGATGGCCATCTGTCATGGATGCTTTAGCTGAGATTCCTGCCTTGGACTTGATAAGACTCGGTGTGATTGAGACAAGTTTTCCTTGGCCGCGAACTTGGACCGAGTATGAAGATTTCAGCCACTCAGAATGCACAGTAAACTTGCAATCACTGTCCTTATTTAATGTGGATGGTCCATCTTTAGAATAATACAGCTATAGAGTTCTGGGGCACTCAGTCCCATTCAAACCCCACCACCACCACCAACCCACTCGGTGCAAGAGACCTACCACTCCAGCATTCCCAACAAATCACTGTCCAACTTCAGGAAGAAGGCCTCAAGCAAAAGGAAGCCCAGCACCTCTTTGAGCAATCGGCTCTGAAGCTGAACTGTGCTCTTCCAGAAAGCGCCTTTTTATGCTGCGTGAATGATCACCTAAAACGTGGGAATTTGTCAGGCAAGCAAACGTCAGGAAAATTGAACGAAGTTCTGTCGGAATGTAGCCCAAAACCAGCACGTGTTCGCCATCTAGTGTCATGAGCCAGTATTAGAAAAATGATAAACTGAATTGGATATACAGTGGTACCTCGGGTTGCATACGCTTCAGGTTACAGACGCTTCAGGTTACACACTCCGCTAATGCAGAAATAGTACCTCGGGTTAAGGACTTTGCTTCAGGATGAGAACAGAAATTGTGTTCTGGCGGCGCGGCAGCAGCAGGAGGCCCCAATAGCTAAAGTGGTGCTTCAGGTTAAGAACAGTTTCAGGTTAAGAACAGACCTCCAGAACGAATTAAGTACTTAACCCGAGGTACCACTGTATTCACCTATTGCTTGCTGTATATGACCCTAAAATCGGGAGCCAGAAATTCCTGCAGCATTGCAAAGGGTCCTAGGTGCTCATCTCTACATTATTGATGCAGCACCCCTAAAATACTGACACACTCTTTGCATGTCCTCTTGTGCACCTGGGTCTCAGCTTGCATCCTGTTCCCACCATCTCCATCCCGGGCTCTTATTCCTCTTCCAAGGTCGTGTGAATTCTGCCCTAAGCAGTATAGAATTTAAAACCGAATAGGAGCTCAAAAATCCCTTTCAGCAAGCTGATCGCATCACAGTAAGGTGGAATTAGTCACGGAGAGGAGGAGCCTATAAAAGTTAGGGCCAGCTCTCAGCAGATTTGGCATTCCAGCCTCTTGCAAGTGCCCTCTGAAACCCAAACGCCTGTGGATTTTTATTTTAAGAAATCTCCCAGGGAGGTGGAACCATGTGCCCCAGAAAGAACAAATGTTTGTTTCCATGCTATTGAAACCTGGCAAAGCTGGGGCTACAGAATGCGAGTGCAAAGGATAAAGAAAAAACTGCTGAAACATTTTTTCTGCGGAATCTACTAATTTTGTTGTGTGCATCGTGTCACCTACTCATTCAGTTAGTAGCTATTTCTTATTGTTTCCCTTCGTTTTTAAAGATCTACCAAATCATTTATTCATTACATTGCCACCTCCCCTTGCCTCCAAGGAGCTCATGCATGTTCCTCCCCCTCCCAATTTTATCCTCAACACAACCCTGTGAGGAAGGCTAGCCCAAAAGACTGTGAACTGCCCAAGGTCACCCAGTGAGTTTCACGGAAGAGCAGGGGATTCAAACCTAGACTTTCTTCGCATGAAGAATGGCCTTGACCGAAAACAGGTTGGCATGGGAGCTGGAACAAAATACAGTGGTACCTCAGGTTACATACGCTTCAGGTTACAGACTCCGCTAACCCAGAAATAGTACCTCGGGTTAAGAACTTTGCTTCAGGGTGAGAACAGAAATCATGTGGCGGCAGTGGGAGGCCCCATTAGCTAAAGTGGTGCTTCAGGTTAAGAACAGTTTCAGGTTAAGAACGGACCTCCGGAACGAATTAAGTACATAACTAGAGGTACCACTGTAATTGCTCTCACAAGAGTGGTTTTGCAAGCAATTACTCTTCCCAGGGGATTCTGTGTGTTGCAGCTCTGCGAGAGAAATAAGGGGTCTCCTACCAACTCTCAGCCGTTTACCTTCCCGCCGGAATGGTACCTATTTATCTACTTGCGCTTGGACGTGCTTTCGAACTGATAGGTTGGCAGGAGCAGGAACCGAGCAACGGGAGCTCACTCCGTCGCGGGGATTCAAACCACCGACCTTCTGATCGGCAAGTCCTAGGCTCTGTGGTTAAACCCAGTTTAATCCCAGTTTCCGTGCGCTGTTCTGGTTCGCCAGAAGTGGCTTAGTCATGCTGGCCACATGACCCGGAAGCTGTACACTGGCTCCCTCAGCCAATAAAGTGACATGAGCACCACAACCCGAGTCGTCCGTGACTGAACCTAATGGTTAGGGGTCCCTTTACCTTTACCAACTCTTGACACCCTTTACAAACTACAGCTCTGAGGCATCATCCAGGCATCTTAGGGACCCCATCCTGGATTTGTGTAGGGTTTACTCCTTAGCCTTTTCTTCTTCCGAAGATGTCCTACAAGGCACCAGAGCTTTAGAACCAGAGTTTTCCTTCTCCTATTTGGGCTGCCTTTCCAGGTGGATGAGCCCCACCTGCCCTTCACTACAGCAAGTGCAGAAACTGCCTTCTGGGCCGTTGGACCCACTATTGGTCTCATCCGCTCAATTCCCCAGGGCCTGTCTGCATGCAGAGGAAGTCCCTAACTCACCCAGGTTTTGAGACCCATTGGCGGCTACCCTTTACCTGGTTTAGCCGGCCAGTTGAAACCGTTACCCTGGGAAGCCATGATGGTTTAGAGTGGTGTAATGTTACCCAATGTTACTCAAGAGAGTCCCATGGACTGCAAGAAGAGCAAACCTCTCCATTCTGAAGGAAATCAGCCCTGAGTGCTCACTGGAAGGACAGATCCTGAAGCTGAGGCTCCAAGACTTTGGCCACCTCATGAGAAGACTCCTTGGAATAGACCCTGATGTTGGGAAAGATTGAGGGCACAAGGAGAAGGGGACGACAGAGGATGAGATGGTTGGACAGTGTTCTCAAAGCTACCAGCGTGAGTTTGACCAAGCTGTGGGAGGCAGTGGAAGACAGGAGTGCCTGGCATGCTCTGGTCCGTGGGGTCACAAAGAGTTGGACACGACTAAACAACAACAAACAATGTTACCCAAAATGTAGTGTGTATGGATCCTTAAGTTTGACCCAACAGGGTTCATCTTGCGCTCAAATAATTTGCGCAGTGCTCAAATAATTTGCGCAGTGCGGGGACGCGGGTGGCGCTGTGGGTAAAACCTCAGTGTCTAGGACTTGCCGATCGTAAGGTCGGCGGTTCGAATCCCCGCGGCGGGGTGAGCTCCCGTCGTTCGGTCCCGGCTCCTGCCAACCTAGCAGTTCGAAAGCACCCTTAAGTGCAAGTAGATAAATAGGGACCGCTTTATAGCAGGAAGGTAACGGCGTTTCCGTGTGCGGCGCTGGTGCTGGCTCGCCAGACGCAGCTTTGTCACACTGGCCACGTGACCCGGAAGTGTCTTCGGACAGCGCCAGCTCCCGGCCTCTTAAGCGAGATGAGCACGCAACCCCAGAGTCGGTCACGACTGGCCCGTACGGGCAGGGGTACCTTTACCTTTAACAGCCCTCACACCACCTGGAAGCCACCTTGGACATCTTATCTGTATAATCTACAGCGACCGACAGCAGCTCTCCAGGGTTTCAGGCAGAACAAATTCCCTGCCTTACCAGGAGGTGCCGGGAATTGAACCTGCGGTTTTCCGCATGCACGGCCAATGCTCTACTGCTGAGCCACAGCCCTGCTTGTCAGCCCCGTTTCCTTCAGCCCAGGACTCTTCTGGGCTGGAGGAGATAACTCAGCCGAGTGGTTAATTCACAGAACAGGCACGCTGGGGAGGAAGGTGTGGCCCTAACAGGCATTTTGCGTAGGCATTTTCAGAGAAAGGAGTAAAGGGTCTTCTATCAGCATTGCTGGCTCGACACTGAGATAAGAAACCGTTTGTTCAGGAGAGAGAATATCCCAAAGAGGCCGGAGTTTCGTCCAGTGCTTTGCAGGCAGTTTTGCTTGCAGTCCTGAACTGATAACTTCAACATGTGCAGCGATATGGAAGGTACCCAGTTATCCCAAATGCAAAGGATGACAAACCAGGTGGCAGTAGAAGGAGTCTTTGTGTGCCGAGCAGCAAATTAAAATCCAGACAAACATATATAGGTCTTCTCAGAGGCTGAGCTCTCCAACACGCTATTATTTTCATGACGAACGCCTGTCATTGCCACAAGCCGGCCAAACGTGCCATCGGAACCAGACAAAAATATTTTTATTTACCCAGGCATTTTAATCTCTGTGAATCTGTGCTCTTGGTGCTTTTATCTGCTGTGTTGTTATAGTTTAGTGTCTCAGGAAGCAATCCACCAGGATAAGCAGTTTAGGACGCAATGCATCTCAGGCCCACTTAGCCATTTCCTGGCTTAGCCAGCAGTCAGTCCCTAACCCTGATTCAGCCAAAGATACACCATACCTTGCCCGCCACAGCCCGCAGATATTGGTGCCCACCAGCAATTGATATTCGTTTACTGCCCCGGAATATGGCACATCCATGTAGCCACCCAAAAAGTTGTCGCTAGAACCATCCTACAAAGTTGTAGTCAATGAGAAGCTGTCAATGGCTTAAGAGCCCTGCTCCCTCCAAAGAGACGAGATGCGGGGAGCAAGCAACCTTGACTCAGCAACAGCCCCGAATAAAAAGTGGATGGCCCCTTCTGTCTTGCAAAGATTATTGCCTTTCAAAGAGCTGAATGACTATGGGGGAATTATCTTTGGCTGAAACAATGGGTCTGAAGGAAGACAATTCTTCGCGTGGGGTAGTTTAACAGAGTTCAACTCCAGGGCAAGCCTACAAAGCACCAGTTACAAGAAGCCAGGCCCAGGATGGCTCCAGGAAGAAACACACCCTCCCGTAGCAGTGACTATCAGTTGCTGTACAGAGGGATGGTCCAACTATAGAGATGCAAACTTGCAAACCACTTAGGGCAGGGATGGAGAACCATGGGCTCCCTAGGTGTTGCTGACGTCCACTGCCCATCACCCCCAGCCAGCATGACCAACAATCAAGGATGATGGGAACTGGAGTCCAATGGCATATGGGAGCCACAGGCTTCCTATGGTAGGCTGAACAGGGACATGGGTGGCGCTGTGGTCTAAACCAGGGGTCAGCAACCTAAGGCCCATGGGCCAGAAGCGGCCTGTGGAGGTCGTTTGACCAGCCCACGAGCCGCCCCCTGAACCAAGCTGCCAGCTCCTAAGCTGTGCTAAAACCAGTGCAGCGTGGCGCAGGGACTCGCCTACGCGGTGCCAAAAATCGCAATCCAGCCCACGGAGGCATCTCCGCAGGACTGATCTGGCCCAGGCAAGATAAACCTTGCTGACCCCTGGTCTAAACCACTGACCCTTTTGGGCTTGCCGATTGGAAGGTTGGCAATTCAAATCCCCACAATGAAGTGAGTGAGCTCCTGTTGCTCTGTCCCAGCTCCTGCCAACCTAACAGTTGAAAAGTATGCCGGTGCAAGTAGATAAATAGGTACCACTGTGGCAGGAAGGTAAACAGTGTTTCCACGCGCTCTGGCTTCCATCACGATCACCAGAAGTGGTTTGGTCATGCTGGCAACATGACCCGGAAAGCTGTCTGTCGACCAACGCCAGCTCCCTCGGCCTGAAAGTGAGACGAGCGCCACAACCCCATAGTCTCCTTTGACTGGACTTAACTGTCCAAGGGTCCTTCACCTTTTCCTTTTACCTTATGGTAGGCTGGCAATATTCTAGGAGACTAAGTTTAGGAAAGAAAATACCTTTTTAAAAGAGAGAAAAAGAAAGAGAGAAGGTGTTCAGATAGAAGTTTAGGAGCTAACCAGCTGAAGGATGGATTCCCCAACGTACTAAAGCAACCTTTGCTAACCACCCAAGGTATAAATGTTTGCAAACAGCTTTTCGAAGCTTTGCAATCGAGCAGATAGAAAATCTCATTGTCATATCAAGGATGAAAACCTCGAGGCAATTTATACAGTGAAATAAGCCCAGACACAAAGGTTTATTAAAGGTTGTAATCATAGGATCATATGAGTTGGAAAGGACCCTGAGGATCATCCAGTCCAACCCCCTGAAATGCAGGAATATGCAGCTGTCCCTTGCAGGGATCGAACCTGCAACCTTGGTGTTATCAGAACCACGCTGTAACCAGCTGAGCTATCCATAACCAAGTTCCATAGAAAGCAATTAGGAACGTCTAACGTGCTGCTTTGGTTTCAAGGGGACTTTGTTATGACTAACTTTCTCTGGAACAGAGCAGCGCTTACCTGCTTAGCTGGGAGTAAGTAGCATCCAATACATCAACACTTATTTCTGAGAAAACACGCCACAGGACCCAGTTCCATGGGGGTTCACTTTTAAAGTTCAGGAACCTAGCAAAAAGCTACTGACCACAGGCCTCTCAACAACATGGTAAAACAAATCACACTTAGAAAAATGAAAGCCGTTTTTTATTGTTGTCTCCACAGCCAATCATTTGACACGAACATGCATACGTAATTTGGCTACGCACACACCACTTTTCTTTTTAAACGTTAGTTATTAAACATACAACAGACATCCTTACAAAAATGAGTCAAAATGCAAACTTAACTTTTTAAAACAAACAGTTTTACTCATTTATTTGTTTTTTTTCTTAAAAAAAAACTTTGTGTGTTGGGTACCATTTGTACAAACACAGTTAATTTAAACAAATCTGCTCTTAAGTTTCCTCATGGTTGCACATAAAAAAGCTGCAATACAAAATGAAGTCACTGAGAGTTTCTTTCTTTCTTTTTAAATAGCAGAAATAGGCAGTTTCGCCATGCACAAGAAGCAATATTAAATATTAGTTTTTCAAAAAAAGAGAAAAAAACCACGTTTAAAAATATTTAGTTCAAGTCACAGAACTTTCTCCAGTCCAGAGAAATCCAAAACGCAATGCAGAATTAGCTGCCACAGAATGGCCATTCTGAAAGGCTAAATAAAAAATAAAATAAAAAAATCACCTCCCAGGGTTGATAAAATTTTCGATGATTTTGGCACAGAAAAGAAGTTATCAGCTTACTCAAGAACAAGAACGTGATTTTTTTTTTAATGGAGAAGACAAGAAGAGGAGAAAAATCAAAAGCAAGACTGAACAAGATAGTAGTTGCAATCACTTAAAAAAAAGAAAAAAAGATCTGTGCATCTCCGTCATTGCAGAATACTGTTTACAGCAGAGCATAATTTCCAGGTAACTGTTATTGCAACATAGATTTAATTTGCTTCGAGGTAGTCTCATCATTCAAATGTTTTGTTGTGTACCTAAAAAGGAAAAATAAAAGTGTGTAAAAACCATGCACATATGTCTGCATTGCAGGGGGTTGGACTCTATGATTCTATGGCTTTGTACATCTCTGGCAGTCTGATCCTTAAAAAAAGACTATTTTGGGGACAAGAGGGCAATCTTGGGGCAGTGCAGTGGAGGGAAGCTTTGGGCTGGGTGTTCCTGCTGAATCCCCGTGTACGTAGGCATTTGAAAAATTCTAAAATGCTGTGCCTGCCTTCACACTGTACCAGTGGTCCTCATTTACCAGTGCTAACCACTGTTTTCCAAGAAAGAAGAGTTGGCACTTACAGTGATTCCACGTTCAAAAGCTAAATACCTGAGAGCATTTAGAAGGCCTTCTACACTGTTTGGAGGCTGGTCTTTGAGAACTTTGATGCATCCTTTCATCTGGAAATCAATACAAAAGGGTTGGGGGGGACAGGACACACATGTTAATTCACAACAAACCGGCGTTGGACGTAACCATGACACAACCTGCAATTTCACTTTTCAGAAAGGATCCAGCCCCTCATGTCAATACGATTAGCTCAATCAGGGGGACGGCAATGACTTTAAAAACAACAGCCCTCGAAGCAAGCCAAGGCAGCCACAGATACACTGCCCATGATTCATATAAATAGCATTTTCACACAAGTGCAGCCTAGCTGGCATAATATGGGAACTTGCACTGAATCATCCGCATCATTTTTATTGACATGCAGATGTGCTAAAAAATACATATTTTAAAAATGACTATCTTCTGTGTTTCCTTCTTGCCTCCACCCCACCCAGCTGGCCCACCACAAGGAAGCGTAATTCACTCAGCCCCAGAACTTACATCAATTTTTGACGTTTTAGCAAACGCGCCTACTGGATGCACGTGGTCATAGAGAATGATGACGCCCACCATCACCCTCAGACAGAACGATACCGTTTGCTCGTTGGTGAACCTGCTTCTGTATTCCCTGGGATTTTAACAAGACACGGCAGTAAACACTTGATTATCCAAAGCTGAATTCTAAATAATTATTATTATTATTATTATTATTATTATTATTATTATTATTATTATTTATTTATTTATACACCGCTCATCTGGCTGGGTTTGGGTTTCCCCAGCCACTCTGGGTGATTTCCAGCAAAACACTAAAATACAATAACCTATTAAACATTAAAAGCTTCCCTAAACAGGGCTGCCTTCAGATGTTTTCTAAAAGTTTGGTAGTTATTTTTCACTTTGACATCTGGTGGGAGTGCATTCCACAGGGCGGGTGCCACTACCAAGAAGGCCCTCTGCCTGGTTCCCTGTAGCTTTGCTTCTCGCAGCGAGGGAACCGCCAGAAGGCCCTCGGCACTGGACCTCAGTGTCCGGGCAGAACAATGGGGGTGGAGACGCTCCTTCAGGCATACTGGGCCGAGGCTGTTTAGGGCTTTAAAGGTCAACACCAACACTTTGAATTGTGCTCAGAAACGTACTGGGAGCCAGTGTAGGTCTTTCAAGACCAGTGTTATATGGTCTCGGCGACCGCTCCCAGCCACCAGTCTAGCTGCCGCATTCTGGATTAGTTGTAGTTTCCGGGTCACCTTCAAAGATAGCCCCACATAGAGCGCATTGCAGTAGTCCAAGCGAGTGATAACTAGAGCAAGTGTCTCAGCGGAATGCCATCCCCAAAAGTAACAGCCTTCTCAGGGTAAAGTTTCTTCCTTCCCAACTGCAAATCCTAAAGCCTGATGCTGGGGTTTCGTTCCTACCTTTCCCTAACAGCACAACAAGGCTTGCTAAAACCACCTGCGATACCTGGCTGCACAATAACCATTTGTGGCAGGTTAGGGTGATCAAGCACTGGGGGTCAACCCTGGAAAAGAGGCTCAAGATGCAGGCAAAGTACGCTCCAGGTTCTTATATCTTCCTGATTTATGCATGAGATCAAACCATTTCCCAAAGCGTACAGATGCCTTCCGATACATTCCGGTGTTGAAATATTAAAAAGAACTGTTCCCGCAAGAACTAGCAATCTGGCACATGCCCAGCTTAATCTGAAAAAGGCGCTACAAAACTGGAAGTGTCGAGACCTCTCAGAGAGAGCAGCCTATCTGTCATCTCCAAGGAGCACTATCAATAGCAGCCACTTCTGTGGAAGAAAGTAAAATGCACTTGGGAGACTGTTACGGAAGGAATGGCCTCTGCACAGCCCACCCTGTGGGGCACAGGCTCCTTCCCTGACCCTAACCGGACCATAACATCTGGGTCAGATGTGTTCAGTCAGGAAAATGGCATGGTCCAATTCAGGAAACCAGGCTTGGCCCCAGTCCTTGCTTTGCACGATGCACCGTCTTCAGTGACTGAGACGCTCCACCCCCTTCCCTCCTCTATCTGCCATATTACAAAAGTTTCTTACTAGTTCAATACGATTGCAGTCCTGCACTTGGGTACATAACAGAAAGGAACTACCAGGTTCTTATCTTATTCTTCCTTAATTCTAGGTTCTGGTTTTCCTCAAATTGTTTATACCTTTGCCAAATTAACTCTGAATTTGTGACTTACTATCTATGGCTTATCGTGATCAGAGTATGGTTCCTTCTAAGTGTTTGAAACTTCTCAGTAAAAAAACAAACAGGCTTTGCTTAGGGAGATGCCCACGTTTGTCAAATAAATAAAATGGTGTTTTGATCAAAAGTTATGTCTGAAGTAGCCTCGGTACTTACGGGGTTTCCAGCATAACTCGGCAAACGCTGGCCATGGTGCTTAAGCAGTCTGTGGTGTTCTCTATAGGCAAATTTTTGTTCTGTAATTGGCATAGGAAATACATAGTTACTGTAATACAAGCAAGCAACCCATTTTTCCAAGTAGGACTGAGAATGTCTCCTGTTCAGAATCCTGGAGAACTGCTACCTACTGGCATAGACCAGTGTTTCTCAAACTTGCTGGACTACAACTCCCATCATCCCTGGCCGCTGGTCCTGCTAGGTAGGGATGATGGGAGTTGTAGTCCAACAACAGCTGGGGACCCAAGCTGGAGAAACACTGATCATGTTGAGAGTAATATTCTTCCCCTTGGTGAAGAAGCTTCAGTGACAAGTTTTAGGAGCCAAGTGCAAAAGGCAGACAAGCTGTTTTGGGGTAGGGAGGGAGCAGACTTTAGCTCCGCATTACTGAGTTGCATTGAGATGCTACCATCTATGATGAGTCACAAGATTTACTGAATAAAATTCCAAAGCCTCTCTCCTGTAACTAAATCAATTCTACAGCCCTTAACACCTTCAAATCACACTGCTGGCACGTGAAATTCAACATTGAGATGCACCCAAGAGTCTGTAACACGGAGTCTTGTCAGCAGCGCAAGCTAGTTTTACGCAACAAACTTGTATTTTCCACAGTTCTCCTAACAAGGAGGTCTATTCATGCACATACCTCTGAAACGAATTTTGTCGTGGCATCGCTTAAGGTTTTCAACATTGGCGTTGCTTCGGCATAAAATAAAGACATTCTGTTGGCCAATTCGTTATTTACTTCATTTTCTCCTTCTGCCTACCAAAGTATAAAATTTAAAAAAATCACAATCTTCACTGGTTTTGAATAAACAGAGTAAGTGGTACAAGGGTCACAAAGAAATACCTTCTTCACTTCTACAGAAGGGTACTTACTGGAACATTATTGATCCTCATACGACTCAAGGTTCTTCTGTAGTAGCTGAAGTCATTCTGAATTGCGGGATTCGTCATCTAGAAAGGGGGGCAGGGGAGAGGATGTATTGGTGACAAGTGCACATTATACCCTAACTCGTTCTGATGGGGCCAGGGATTTCAGTTCTGTGAAGACCTGGGAAATGAGGCCAGCATCTTGAGGTCCTGCACTGAAGCGGTGGTCTAGGGCAGGATCCTAAATATTATTTTGTCAAGGCAGAATCCTGCATAACTAGGCTATTAAATATCCAGAATACTACGGAACACATGTGATTTCATGTATGTTGCCTAATACAGTAATATGGAATAGGTAGCAGCCGAATGGGGCAAGCATTAGTTGCCGCTGTTAGCAGGACAGATAGCTCTGCCTGGATGCTTATAGGCAAGGCCGTACTGTCCTTGCATGGAGAACCTCCAGCATTTTGTGCCAGTATGAGGAATGGGTAATTGGACTAAGATGCTCCTCTGTTCTGGTCCAGTAGTGTTCTTCTTATGTCCTTAGTGATGTGACGAGCTTGAACAATCAGTAAGACCAGGGTTCACAGTCCTTGGCTGCCATCCAGGAGCAAAAATGGAAAGGGATTTCCATATTTGTTTACAGCAACATCGGATCAATGGACAAACAAGCACTGTGCAACGCTGTAACACGGATCACAGCTGCTTTGTGACCGTCCAGTTTGGACAAGTGCTATGCGGGGATAATTCTGAACTTACCTTCAGCTCATCAAAACGAAGTGTGAAATGAAGGATTTCTGCAAACTGTTTGGCAAGAGCCTGCTCTCGCTCCAGGTGCTGCGTGGGAGAATATGGAGTGCTTGTCAGAGCCCCAAGAAGACCTCGCAATGCAGCTTCTGCACGCAAGAACAAGGGGGACAGTTACGTAAAACAGTGTGAATGTGTTGAACGTCCTGTCGTTCTGGATTATTACAAAAGCAGGCCACAATCGAGGTGTTATAAAATCCTAGGTGCCAGTGGACTGCCCTAAAAAAAGGAGAGTCCTTCATCCTTCCTCAAAAGCAGTTTATATCGGTGCCAAGATACATTAGACTAGAAATTACAAACAACAAAAAACAAAGCCACCAAATTAGCAGTAAATGTCAACATTTCTGTGTAGGTAGTAAATTAGCAATACAAGTCCATTAGCACTAATATCAACAAATTTGACCATGCTAAAATAGTTAACACCGTGGGATCCTGGCCTTAATTACGTGGTAGATCATACAATATTATAGAGCAAATCAATCAATCAGTTACTACTGACACTTACCAAGTCTTTGAGAAAATTCATAGAATTTCTTTAGTTTGCCCACTAGAGGGACAACCGCACCCCATGCCTTCTCCTGGAGCCTCTCATTAGTGGGATGCTGTATTGCCTGGAACAATTAAACACAAGCAAGGATGTTTGCTTTATAATAATGTTTGCTTTACAGTATAGTTTTCTCTACATTTAAATCATATAAAAGCATGGGACAACCAAGCCATAAGACCACAAAACAGAGACATTGTTCTGTGTGACCATGCACAATCCCTAGAGGAGCTCGGAGAGAAAAAAAAAGCCTAGATGAAGCTCTCACGGTACACAAGTCTCACTCTCATGTCAATAGCCTGCAGTGTGGAGAACAAGGATCACCTCATTGCAAAGGCAAAAGCGGGGGGGAAGAAGGGAAATTGCACTGCTGATTAATGAGACTTGTACTATTGTCAGAACATTCTTCCACCAACTGGCAGCTGCTCCCCAAGGTCTCAGGGCAGAGGTCTCTCCCAGACATGGTGCCTGATATCCTTTTAACATGAGATGCCAAGGGCTGAATCTGGAGCCTTCTGTTTGCAGTCATCATGTTCCACTGCTGAGCAATGGTGCAGCCCAAGCTACCTGCACGACTACATGTCATGCAACAATATCAGAAGAATGTCAGGCACTATCTGGGTGACGGATTCCCCCAGCAACTAAATATTACAGGTGGTTAAAAGGTCGGGGAAATGAGATACCCTGAAATAGAACTGTGGCGCCAAGGAAAGAAAATGTGGGTGTTGGTGCAACAAGTGAGAAACATTCACGCTGCATGTTTGCAATATAAATCTGATTATCCGGAAAGGGTCCAAAATGACCTGTTTCAGGGCTGCCGAGAGGGCAGTTAAAACAAGATAGTAAAAATTACTTGCACATAGAGCATGCTATTAAAAGTTATAGAGACTCTGGCAGAAACTGAACCTTTAACTGATCTGTATTAAGGTCATATGGGACGGTGGCGCTGTGGGTTAAACCACAGAGCCTAGGACTTGCCGATCAGAAGGTCGGTGGTTCGAATCCCCGCGACGGGGTGAGCTCCCGTTGCTCGGTCCCTGCTCCTGCCCTCCTAGGAGTTCAAGTGCAAGTAGATAAATAGGTACCGCTACGGCGGGAAGGTAAACGCCATTTCTGTGCGGTGCTCTGGTTCGCCAGAAGCGGCTTAGTCATGCTGTCCACGTGACCCGGAAGCTGTATGCCGGCTCCCTCGGCCAATAAAGCAAGATGAGCGCCACAACCCCAGAGTCGGTTATGACTGGACCTAATGGTCAGGGGTCCCTTTACCTTTATTAAAGTCATAATCACTAATGCAAAGTATGATACGTAGCATCACTAAATTGATTACAAAATACTCCATCCAATTATGCTTTTTACCTCTCGTATTTCATGACCGGCTCCTCTGTATGACTGCAAGTCTTCCAGGATTCCTTCTGCATCCTTTAACACTACATTTACCTGATTATAAATTTCTTTTTCTGATTCTGTAGGTTGAGCATCTAAACAACAGGACAGCATATTAAGTCATATTTGTAGTTACGCAATTTTCAAATATAAACATCTTGAATGTATTTTAATATACAGTGGTGCCTCGCAAGACGAAATTAATCCGTTCCACGAGAGTCTTCGTCTAGCAGTTTTTTCGTCTTGCGAAGCAAGCCCATTGACGGATTAGCGCTATTAGCGCTATTAGCGGTTTAGCGGCTATTAAAGGCTTAAAGGCGATGGGGATTAGCTGCTAAAAGGCTATTAAAGGCTATTTAATGCTGAGCAGATTAGATAAAGGGGGGGGAAAGCGAAAAAAACCTCAAGACTCGCAAGGTATTTTCGTCTTGCGAAGCAAGCCCATAGGGGAATTCGTCCTGCGAAGCAACTTCAAAACGGAAAACCCTTTCGTCTAGCGGTTTTTCCGTCTTGCGAGGCATTCGTCTTGCGGGGCACCACTGTACTCCTGAAAATAGTGTTTAAATATGTATACATGGTTTGGGTTTCTTTTTCCTATCAAAATATACTTGCAATCTGCGCATTATGTTTAAATGCAACTGGAATGTCTAGAAGCCTTGTTTGTCAAAACAGCTTTGGTCAGTTCAGCCTTTCACAATCCACATGGTAAAAGCCTTCTAGGTTAGAGAAGCACATAGGTTAGGGCTGACATATCCGGGATTCGCCCACCGAAAATAAGAGTCCAGGCAGAATTTTCGAAAATTGGGGAAATGTCCGGGAAAACCTGAGTGTATGGCAACCCATGTCAGAAGTGTTGATTTCCTAAAACTTTTGTGTCCGGATTTTCAGTTTTTGAAATATGGCAACTTTAGCATAGGCTTACTAGCTTTGGGAAGAGGCGCAAATGAAGCAAGAGCTCACAGAATGTGGATATTAATACCAGAGCTGTGGGCAAGTGAGGAACCTCCTTATCAGCTGTATACTGATTTTGTGTGAAAACATGAAGCACAGAATCAGTAAGCTAAGTAATCTTTTTTAATATCCAAAATCAATAAATAGGCACCTACAATTTTAATCAACCTTGTCATGCAATACACAAGAAGGGAAGCGCCACAGATCAGAGCAAATGCTTTGCGCACAGAAGGCCTGATGTTTAATCTCTGGCATCTTCCATTAAAAGGATCCCAGGCATCAGATGATGGAGAAGACCCTTAGATGCTAGAGAGCAGCTGTCAGTCAGGGTACAGAATACTCGGCTAGATTGACCAAAGGCCTAGCTCAGCAGAAGGCAGGCTCATTTGCTCCTACGAAATAATACCAACAGGTATGTGGACTGTGTGGCATTTGTGTACAGGGCTTGAGTCCTGGGCACTGGGCTATTAATCATTGCTCCAGATAAAAAACAGAAGGTGCCTAGCTGAATAAAAGCTGCACACATTTAGAAGTAGAATACAAAATTAGATACTAATACTGTTCAAATCCATGTTGGTACAGCATCTGTTCTATTAAAAATTCCTTGGGTGGTATTCAGCTAAGTTTTACAAGACCTTTGGGTTAAGCTAATTTTAATTTCAGTGAGTCTACTCTTGAGTAAAATCTAGTTGAATACCAACTCTTATTTAAGATCTGGAATTCACCTGCCATTCTAGAAAATTTCTCTATTTAACAGCAAAATTATACTTGCTACTACAAGGGAGACGTTTTCGGTGGGAAAAGCTGTTGTTGCTGTTATTGCATCCTTATAAAAAGGCCATTTCTTAAGGCATAGCCCTAACAAGATAGCTCATGCAATCATGAAATAAAATGCATATGAAATCAAATTAAGTTAGCTTCAGTAGATCTAGCTCAGAGTCCTGACTTAAGTCGGATACCATTTTAAAACAGTTCCATCATTGAATACATGTGGCATTAGGATACCTCCTTTAAGGAAAGGCAATTCTAAACAGATCTTAATGACCATTTAAAATAAGCAATGTTGAAGCTACATGCAACTGAGTGTGAGCTAGAAACTCACAGACTGCAATCAAACGTTTGCTGCTTTGTTTAATTTCCAATGATATTCACAGGCCTTTTGCCTGAACACACAGACCCTTCAAACGCCCCCTTATAAATCATCACAGTTTCCAATTTCATCTGAACTCAGAAGTAGCTTGGGGGCAAGTCAGGGTCTTAAAGTTTAAGCTGTGGTTTAAGACCTTGGCTTGTTCTGAAGCTGCTAGCCATAGTTTCCCCACTCAGATGAAAGGGGAAACTGTGGTTAATTATAGACTTTCTGGCTCCCCCAGGTGTGCCATGAAGGAGCTACAGCTGAGACAAAAGGCTTGTGAATCCCTTGGCTTTTTAAGATGAGATATCTTCTCATCTTCTGAACTGGGTGTTAAGATGCAAAAGGCATAAGGCAACAGGCAGATTCTTTTATGGCTTCATCAAAGGAGGCCCAGAAGCACATCTGATTTTCACAGCAGTAAATATAAATTGATATTAAACATTGTAAATTATATAAACAACTACTTAGACCCCCTTCATTCACATGCTACTTGATGCTGTGTTTACAAAGAGGCAGCAACATGCACACAAATAAAAGTACATGCAAATGTGAGTCCAACTGGTAGACTCTCTTTGGACTATAGTTAGGGCACAAGATAAAAGATACATGTTTTTTTAAATGTTCTCACTTTCAAAGTCAAGGAAAAAATTTGGTCCCTGCTCAAGGTCTGTGCACGTCAAAACTTTAAGAAGGTTCCCCATGCTAAGGTACCTGTTGAGACAATGAGAAAAGACAAAGAATATTTCTTTTTAAAAAGAATAGAAGATTAACAGGGGGGGAAATGCATTAACTTTCCAGGTATTCCTGTATTTTCAGTTCCTGGTATGATGTAAGCAATGGAGTATTGTTTCCAACTTCCCAACACATCCAACAGCTGAAAAGTGGGTTACCCAATAGCAGACAGAAGAACATTCATCAGAAAGCAAGAGAAAATCTCACACCATGTAGCTCCCCAATTGTACTCATTGAAGTCAGATGCCCATAATACACTGTTCTTAAATTAGAATTTCAAAATACCCAATTCTGTAGTAGATGGCTGTATTTCGCAGACACCCTCTTCTCACACTGTTTCACTTCAGAATATCTATGGATGATAGCAAAGTTTGACAGCCTTTTCTGCTTTGTTATAATGGACTCAATACTCCCAGTCCAAAATGGGAGTAAGAAACCTGTGGCCCTTCAGATGTTGCTGGACTCCAGTCAGCCGGCATGGCCAATGGTCAGCAATTGTGCGAGTTATAGTTCAGAGACACCTGGAGGCGGCAGGTTCCCCATTTCTAGTCTATAAGAACATTTCAGATACTCAACAAGAACTAAAAAGCATTTTCCGTTTCTCTTCTATACTCAGTCTTCTCTTCTCTTGGTATATGCCAGAGGTCGGCAACCTAAGGCCCATGGGCCGGAAGTGGCCCATGAGGGTCGCTTAACCGGCCCATGAGCCACCCTTGAACCGAGCCGCCCGCTCAGTGAGTCCCCGTGCACTGCACTAAACCGGCGCAACGCAGCGTTGTACCTCTCTTCTGCGGTTCCGCAATCGCTTCTGCGCATGCTCAGACACCGGAAATCACTTCTGTGCAGGCGCGATTTTCAGCATCTGGGCATGTGCAGAAGCGATTTTCGGCGCCACAGACATAATTCCCGGCGTCGCACTGCGCCGGCCCATGGAGGATCTCCACGGGAGTGATCCACGGGAGTGATCAAGCCCATGCCCGGTAAGCCTTGCAGACCCCTGGTATATGCAGCTACCTGTTCTGCTTCCCTAGAACTCCCTCCCCCCCCCAAGAAAAAATTGTGCTGGGTAGGGAAAGGTGGGTCACGTCTATTGTTACAGTGGTGCCTCGCAAGACGAAATTAATTCGTTCCGCGAGTTTTTTCGTCTTGCGGTTTTTTTCGTCTTGCGAAGCACGGTGTCGGAAAAGTTTTGGAAAAGCTTCAAAAATCACCAAAGTCTTCAAAAACCTCAAAAAAAGGCTACCACACCGCGTGCTATGAGTTGCTCCTCGAAGTCAAGTCGCAACTGTATTAACGGTTTTAAGAAAAAGGAAACAAACTTGCAAGACGTTTCCGTCTTGCGAAGCAAGCCCATAGGGAAAATAGTCTTGCGAAGCAACTCAAAAAACAAAAAACCCTTTCGTTTTGTGAGTTTTCCGTCTTCCGAGGCATTCGTCTTGCGAGGTACCACTGTATTTGATTGTTTGCGCTTTAATTATAGCCAATAAAATGTTTCTTGAGGGCAATGGTCGGTACTCCTAATGTAGCTGAGTGGTTTGAAACGCAGAGGCAGAATGCAAACCAATGAACACAAAGTAACTGCCACACAGACATATGAACTCCGCAGCACAACAATATACCAAGAGTAGAATTGCAAAAGTTCCGGTCGTTCATGGCAGCCCAAAACCCAGGCCTAGTTCTCACTGAGGGAGTAAAGACATATCTAGATTGCACCTCTTCACAATGCAAGTCGAGCGCCACGTGACCAAACTCTTCTTTTGACAAAGGATTCCTTCCATGCAGGAAACTAAACACTAGGGGTTTATTCATATTTCCTGAGACATATGGGATAAAACATAGTTTTCTGCTGTATCTAGTCTGGACACTTTGCTACAAAAATTGCTCTGCTTCAACCACGCAACGGTCGGTGGCCATTTTTGTGCAAGCATGTTATTACATTTTGAAAAGGGCTACAGGTCCATTAAGATGGATGGCACCGCAGAAACGCCTCGTTTTAGATCTAAGAATCTCAAGTGCTGACAGTTTAACAAGATGTCAAGTCTGTGCTCCAAGGTATCACGTTGAAAAGAAAGATATTCTTGGAAAGCCAGCATAGTGTGGCTTGAACGGTGCATGAAATCGTCTGTTCAAAAAGCAATTACTGGTGTGTAAAGGATAAAGTACTTGGCCCTCAATAAAACTGGCAAGGCTGTAAGCAGAAGTTTGTATTTCAGAAGGCCCTGCAATACAAAGACTGTCATACCATACCGAGATAGATTTATTCCCCAAATACATCACAGCATCACCAATTTTTCCCCTCCACCAATTCAACAGAGTCCACACCTGAATTGTCTGGGAGGGGAGAGGGATTACTGGTTTGTTCTCTTCTTCATTTTGCTTTTAGGATGCATTTTGTGCTTTTATCCTGTATTTTTATGCTGTGAATCATCCTGAGATCTTCAGATGAAGGGTGGCATACAAATTTAATAAATAAAATAATCTGGCAATGACAATTTAATTCATTTTCGTATCCAGCTATAAGAATTTCGCTTTCTAAGCCCGCTTCCCATGAGTTCTCCTTGGAAGAAAAATTAAAGTTCAGCTGATGTCTGTTAGATGCGATGCAGTCTACCTAAGAATACTGCTTTATTTGACGTGGGGGAAGGGAAAGCAGGGAAGAGCCTCACTAACATAATATACCAGTCACTTCATCTCCTGCCAGCAAATGCTCTTGAATAACATCCAATGAGGTCAGCTGCCTTGCAGAATGAATTTCCAGATTTCGGGGAGTGGGGACAGGCATGGTGGGCTGCAAAAGCAGGAGAGGAAGGGCATGTGTTGTTGTGTCTGGTGGCTTCTTAAGAGTTTAAAAAGCTATTCAATGTACCTGTCATATTTAATTTGAAAAACTAGCAATTCTTGCTATGTGACTTGAGATTCTATTGTTTTATGATAGTTTCTGTCATTACTGCTGCTAGTACCACATACTGCCCCAGATGATGGTGTGCAATGGCAGTAACACTGTCTTGGTCGGCTCAGCCAGGAGAGCTGGGAGAAGGGGGCTTCGATTTCTCTGCTTATCAAGTCAATTTGTTCTGGCCATAAGACATACAAACACGCAAAGCAAGCAACCGCGGGAACCAAACAGTGCACTGGTACAAATAATTGCAATGAACTGTATCATCCTTTTTTGATGCCACTTGAGAAATCAATTAGAATGAGCAGAGACATCTTTTCATATCTCATCAAGTTGAACAGTCCTTTGCTGATGTTCAGTAACAGAGGGGGGAAATATGTGAATGCCACATATTAAAGAATAGTTTCTAAGGACTGTAAATAATTCCTGTTTGTAAAAAAAATCAAAAAAGGCTTGCTTATTCTTCCCCCCTCCCCTTAAGCTCAAAACACATGTGTCTACTTAACTTTAATCCTTAGCTTTTGTCTATTTCTTTGGGCTCACTTTCAGTATCTGATGCTATTCTATCGAGGAACTGCAGCCCGTTTAACGCCTGCAGCCGTGTGAAGCCACACCACTAGTCAGAGCAGATTATTACACCGAGGATCCCTTCCAGGGCCTAAAAATAATGCATCAAATTTAAATGCTTTTTGCCAGCTTCGGTTTCTAGTGGTTGTGTACTAAAGACTCTTGACTGCCCTTGCTTAGCGTCTCCTAATGCCTCCCAGCGGTTTCTATGGTATCAGCAAACAGCTCTCTCAGGCCCTGTGGAACCAGGTTGTGGGAATCACGGAGAAAGGCTGCTTCCAACTTGACCTACTTTCACAGAATAAGACATACGGGATGCCACATCTGATTACAATGACTCTGCCCATTACAGCCTTATGGGGTTGTCTGATGCAGAGAGCCATGTCAAATTCAGACAGGCGGAAAGCCCAGGCATATTTTCAAAACAACACTGGCACGCATGGCCTTCATTCTGAAAACATCCCAGGCACATTTCAGCTTGGGCTCCGTCGAGATAAAACGAAAGAGAATTACGGGATGTAATAGAAATTCCCAAGAACCAGAGATGATTCCCCTCAGGGGTAAGAGTAGGTTAATAACTATTTTGTTCCCAACTGGTGAACAAGACTCGTGGCTCACTGAGTGGTAACCTCGCTCCCTCGTTTTCAATATTTATGGAGGAACAAGCAGAGATACAGAATTCCTCACCGCCAAGAACTGACGAGTTTTTTTTGGGGGGGGGGGACTGTTGTGCTTTTTCGCTTGGAAAAAAACAATGCAGAAGATCAAAGTCAATAAAAGAACATCCCGATAAATCAGACCGGAAAAGATAGCATGATTTTAGAGCTAATTCTCTAACCACGGAAGGAGGCATGACTTCTACAATGTGCTTTTTTCCTATTAATTCTCAAAGGAGCAGAGTTTCAAGAGACTTAAGCTAAAGAGTGAAATCCAAGGCTATGAAAGCAGATTTCTCCTTTCGCTCCTCCCACTGCAGCCCCCCGGTATTTGTCTGTGGGTACCCCAACCTCCAGCGCAGAGTTTGGAGGCTTGTGGGGGTTGCAAGGCGGGGAGAGGGAGGTGAACTCCCACTGGGCCAGCAGATGTCTGTTTGGAGATAATCCTGTTAAAACTTGTACAGAATAAACTGGAATCACACAGAAATTCTCCCCTCCCTGCAAAAAAGCAACTAAGGCCCTGATCCAGTTGTCATCATGAGAGAGTTATGGACCCAACCATTTGCACCTAACACTGTGTTTTAATAAAAGTAGTTTGAGGTTGTTTGTTAAACTGATGTGCTTTGGTTGCAAGGAGCTTTTAAAGTTATTTTTAGTCATTTGTCATGTTTTTTAGTGCCACTTGTATTAGCTGTTTTGAGTATTATTTTTTAAAGCGGCATAAAACTGTTCAGCCGTAGGTAACACACCACTACTGTGGTTTCCTCTTCCTTTCAGTCAGTAGAGCATGGGACTCTTAATCTCAGGGCTATGGGTTTGAGTACCAACGGACAAAAGATTCCTGCATTGCAGGGGGCTGGACTAGATGACCACTGTGACCCTTCCAACTCTATAATTCTATGATATTACAATCTGTGAAAATGGAATAAGGCTCTGTTCTAACAATACACAAGCTACAGAGTTCTGTAGCTTTCAAGCTGCACAGCTCTGTTAAGTTAGAATGGTGATATATAACTTCAAACATACGACAATTATCACTAAGTTTTTCCAGTTCTAAATAATTAACTGATTAGTATTTACTCCTACTGGAAACAACATGGCAGTGACTGCGTGCAAACTTAATTTGCGCAAACCTGCTTGACTTGCATAATGCATTCCTTAAAATATGCATATTTTTAGCACAAAATTCAAAGGCGCTGGCTGCATGACATTGAAAGGTCCAGGAAATTAGACAAGCAAGTCAATCTGAATACTGAAATAAAAAGGACTAATTGCCGGGCATCTAAGGGGAACAGGATTTGGTAACATCCTCTCTTAGCATGCCACAACTCTGAGCTGCAGGCTAAGAAGAGATTCTTAACACAGATAAGATTAGTCAGGTAAAATGGCCCTTAGCAACAGGCAACATCCTAAACTGAGCAGCTAACTGGTTCTCTTTATATATACAAGCATGCTACTTATGAAAGCAATGCACAGAAAGCAGTCTTGCGAAGTGAGCTACTAGTGCTCTCCTTTTCCAGCAAGAGATCCGGATTTAAAAAAATCATTTGGAGAGGATGAAGCTGAATCTAATAGCAAAGAGAATATAGAAACTCACAATTACTTCCAAACACACTAAAACATCATCTCCAGGCCAAACTGGATGTGACAGGGCAAGCCATGTGGATTTTTATACAATGCCTGCTCCACGCCTATACAAAAAGGGGGAGGGTGTACTCTTTACATAAAATGGAGGGCACAAGGGAGGGGAGGGAAATCAACTTTTAAGTCATTTTTCGCCTCCTCAACTCAGTACTGGAAATGGGCTGGAGAAAATGAGCTTTAAAAGCAGCAGAGTGCAATAAGAGATGGCAATGGAGGTTTGTTCTCGCACCCAATGCTGCTTTTCAGATAAAGAAAGCAGATTGAAACACACACAGAGAGACAATTAAAAAAAAAATTAAAACGGAGATGTTGTGTGGCTGCCCTAGGCTCCTTCAGGAGGAAGACCAAGATAAACATACATTAATAATAATAAGCAAATAGGGAAGATACATCACTATGGCCCTGTCACATCTGGTTTGATCCCTAGTGTGAGCATTATTTTATTATGCTGACTGGTAAGTACTGTAGTTGGATTAATGCCTGAAAATGTTATGAATCAGGGGCCACAGACTAGGCTTTGGTTTTCCTTTTCACTACTGTGTCGTAAATCAAATCCAAAGAATGCACCACAATTATTTTATTTTAATGCCACCTTTCCTCCAAAGGTTCCCAAGTCTGCGCACATGGTTCTCCTCCTGTACATTCAAGTGCCTTCCATCAGCTTCGGATGGTGGCCCAGCTACGCCCCTATCTGGGCAGGGATAGCCTAACTACTAGTGTCTATGCTCTGGTAACCTCAAGGTTAGATTACTGCCTCTGAAGATGGTTCAGAAACTTCAGCTAGTGCAGAATTCAGCGGCCAGGTTGCTCACTGGAGCAAGGTGGTTTAAGCATTTTACACCAATCCTGGTCCGACTGCACTGGCTACCAAATAGTTTCTGGGCCCAATTCAAAGTGCTGGCTTTGACCTATAAAGCCTTTAACGGCCCAGGACCACCTCTCTCCTTATGAACCTTCCCAGACCCCGAGATCATCTTCTGAGGCCCTTCTTCACGTGCTTCCAGAGCCAGTGTGGTGTAGTGGTTAAGAGTGGTAGTCTTGTAATCTGGGGAACCGGGTTCGCGTCTCCGCTCCTCCACATGCAGCTGCTGGGTGACCTTGGGCCAGTCACACTTCCTTGAAGTCTCTCAGCCCCACTCACCTCACAGAGTGTTTGTTGTGGGGGAGGAAGGGAAAGGAGAATGTTAGCCGCTTTGAGACTCCTTAAAGGGAGTGAAAGGCGGGATATCAAATCCAAACTCTTCTTCTTCTTCTTCCTCCTCGAGAGGTCTGGAGGGTGGCAACTTGAGAAAGGGCCTTTTCTGCAGTGGCTCCCCGTCTGTGGAATGCTCTCCCCAGGGAAGTTCACCTAGCATCTTCATTACACACCTTTAGGCACCAGGTAAAAACATTCCTTTTTAACTAGGCCTTTGGTTGATTTGATTAACATCCTATGCCCTTTGAAAATGGGGGGTGGGGGGGTATTGAGTTTTTATTTTGATTATATATTCTGTCTTTTTATATTTAGATTTTGTTCTGTGAACCGCCCTGAGACCTCCAGGTATAGGACAGTATATAAATTCAATATATAATAGTCATAATAATCTTTACAGTCACACTTTGAAATAGGTTCACCAGAGAGTTAGTTACTGTCACCTAGAGAGCGTCATCGCTGAGTGGAGACTTAAAATTGTGTGTCTCTGGTCCCAGTCGGATACTACAACCATTATGCCATGCTGGTTCTAGAATTGCATTGCTTTTCTCTCCTCATGCTTCAAATTTTGGGTCACATGAGTTAATAACATCCGATTCTAGTCTACTGCTGTTTTGCCTCTGCTAAACTAAGGGGCAAGCAACAGCTTGGATCTGGAGAGGTCTACTCAAGCCATAACATACAACTCTATCAGCCACCATTCCACTAGAGCTTTTTGCGACAGTGAGGCCTCCTACAGGAGCCTTGCTGGGACCAAACCACTGTTTGCCTCCTCCCTTCCCAGAAGCTTCTCTGGCATTGAACATTATGTAACAGCAGAAAAGACTGGACACCTGAAGATAACCTGTTTTCCTTTCCCTTTCCTATTCATAGAGCTGAGTTTAGCAATCTCCATATACAGTACCACCTCCAGCTGCGAATGGGATCCATTCCGGAGGTCTGGCCACATCCCGAGGAATTCGCAACCAGAGGACCGCTTCTGCGCATGGTGCAGTTTAGTGCTTCTGCGCATGCGCATGGGGCGAAACCCGGAAAAATACTTCCGGATTTGCCACGTTTGCATCCCGAAGTTTACATATCCAGAGTAATACATAAGCAGAGGTACGGCTATCTATTAATGCATATTGATAAAGGAGATCTTTTCATAGGATCATTTAGTTGGAAGGGGCCATGAGGATAATCTAATCCAACCCTCTGCTTTGGCAATGCAAAATCTTATAGATACACTTTTATTCAGGAGACTGAGATTCTCTTTTCTAAAGTCAACGTAACCAGAGATGACATAAGAAACAGATTTTAGGAGATACTGAAATTAACTTCTACACACGTACAAGACTGGAAAGAACGTGACTGTCGTAATTATACATTTATTGTGAACATGAAAAAATATTTTATGAATTTTCTTCCGAGTCATGTTTGTCATTCCTACCCCATCATTCAGCATTCTCTTTTGTACTGCTGACATCTAGTGGTCGATTTTAAGTATGCCAGCTCATGTTGCCCAAAGTAATACATAATTTAAGAGGTCAGGCTGCAAATAGAATAATACTTCTTAATGGTTCTCTCTGAAAAGCTGTCAAAAGTGAATGCATTTTAGAAACTCTTCACAGTGAGGAGAAATTGATATCAACATGTTGTGCAATATTTATAATAATGAAAGCAGCTGGGGGCGGGGGGGACTCAAGGTAAAACTAAGCAGGGAAAAGGCTTATGGACATACAAGCCAGAGCTTTCCAAATTGTGTATTGCAACATGTTAGTGTGTCTGTTGCAGTGTGTAGGTGTGTCACAGGAACATTGCCTGCACTCCTTCTGGGACTGGAAAGGGGCTAGTTTAACCCCCAGTTTGCAAGTACAGTGGTACCTCTGGTTACGAACTTAATTCGTTCCGGAGGTCCGTTCTTAACATGAAACCATTCTTAACCTGAGGTACCACTTTAGCTAATGGGGCCTCCCGCCGCCGCCATGCAATTTCTGTTCTCATCCTGAGGTAAAGTTCTTAACCCAAGGTACTACTTCCGGGTTAGCGGAATCTGTAACCTGAAGTGTTTGTAACCCGAGGTGTTTGTAACCCGAGGTACCACTGTAAAACTGAATTAATCTGTCTCAAAATGATGCATGTCTAAAAAGTGTGTCACCAACATGAAAAGTTTGGAAAGCTCTGATCTAAACTGTATTTAAATAGATACTAAATATTACTATACTCCTAACCCATTTTTTCTGGGTCTCCCCAGGGTCTCCAATCCAGGTAACTGATTACACCCCACAGTTGCTTAGCTTCAGCAATAACTGCAGCATCGGGATATTTATTGAACCCAGTATTTAGACTGCTTGTCTTATAAAGTATGTGACTGATGAACAGAATAATCCTATACACAACTACTGAAGAGTAAGGCCTATTACATTGGGGTGGTCACTTTTGTTATTCAAAAGCACGTTACAGAAAAAGAAGAAAAGGACATGAAATAAATGAGAGCATTTTAGTATTCTTGTCTAGTATCTCAGGGGGAAAAAAACTTTCTTTCACTAGGGACATCCTATAAAGTTCTCTCATACCAGTTTATGGGTACTACCAAAACCAAGATGGTTTCTTAGGTGATAAACTTCATTAGAAAACTATAACAAAAAGCGGACACTTGCACACACAGATGACTGCAGCTCGTGTGAAACTTGTATCAATATTTAGGAAGACAATATTTTTGTGCAGACCAAATATTTGTGTGCCCTTTAAGATGATACCTTCGAAGCACTAAAACGTGAACACCTGTGCCAATACTCCTGAAAAGGAGCAGGGCAGTGCTTATATCCTGCCTTTCTATCCAAAGGATTTCTAATGTGTGTTAGCATTATGCATAGCAGTGACTTGTGAACAACATACACAGTGATTTAGTTCCCTTAGGCCAGTCTTGGGACCTGGGGCCCTCCATGTTTTGGATGACAACTGTCACCAGCCCCCAGTTAGCATGGTCAGTCAATGGTCACAGCTGTTGTAGCCCAACAACATTCGAAGGGCACCCTGATGGAGAAGGCTGCCTTAGCCAAAACCTGGGTGCGACACACAGACACACACACACACACAGAGAGAGAGAGAGAGAGAGAGAAAATGAAATTCTCACCTATAGCCAGTGCTTCTCTGTTTTTGTTCCCAATCTAAAAACATAAAAGAAGAACATGTGAAACCATCTCCAGTAAAATTTCACATCACAGTTCATGCATCTTCTCTCTCAACTTGGGGAGGGGGGATATAGACCCATGCAAGCACCTCTAAAGAAAAAGGGAGAAGATCTGAAGAAACAGCACCTTGAAGGTTCCACAGAGCTGAAGAAGACTCCTCCAGTGTCACCCTCCAGAAATAACCATCCAAGCAAGACCGGAACCACCACAAAGTAGTGGCACCTACCCCTAACTTCAACAGCCACTCCAGAAGGATACCATGGTCAATGGTATCAAAAGCCACTGAGAGGTCGAAGAGGCTACTACAATACTGAATTGTGCATTGAAGATCCTTAAGAGCTCTTAAAGAAAGCAAGTACAGTGGTTGACCACAAACTTGACATGAGCCAACAGTGTGACGCGGCAGCTAAAAAAGCCAATGCAATTCTGGGCTGCATCAATAGGAGTAAAGCATCTAGATCAAGGGAAGTAATAGTGCCACTGTATTCTGCTCTGGTCAGACCTCACCTGGAGTACTGTGTCCAGTTCTGGGCACCACAGTTCAAGAAGGACACTGACAAACTGGAACGTGTCCAGAGGAGGGCAACCAAAATGGTCAAAGGCCTGAAAACGATGCCTTATGAGGAACGGCTAAGGGAGCTGGGCATGTTTAGCCTGGAGAAGAGGAGGTTAACGGGTGATATGATAGCCATGTTCAAATATATAAAAGGATGTCACATAGAGGAGGGAGAAAGGTTGTTATCTGCTGCTCCAGAGAAGCGGACACGGAGCAATGGATCCAAACTACAGGAAAGAAGATTCCACCTAAACATTAGGAAGAACTTCCTGACAGTAAGAGCTGTTCGACAGTGGAATTTGCTGCCAAGGAGTGTGGTGGAGTCTCCTTCTTTGGAGGTCTTTAAGCAGAGGCTTGACAACCATATGTCAGGAGTGCTCTGATGGTGTTTCCTGCTTGGCAGGGGGTTGGACTCAATGGCCCTTGTGGTCTCTTCCAACTCTATGATTCTATGATTCCAAGAACTTAATTCATTCCGGAGGTCCGTTCTAAACCTGAAACTGCTCTTAACCTGAGGTAACCTAAACGGCCTCGGTCCAGTATACCTGAAGGAGCGTCTCCACCCCCATCGTTCTACCCGGACACTGAGGTCCAGCACCGAGGGCCTTCTGGCGGTTCCCTCACTGCGAGAAGCCAAGTTACAGGGAACCAGGCAGAGGGCCTTCTCGGTAGTGGCGCCCTCCCTGTGGAACGCCCTCCCACCAGATGTCAAAGAGAACAACAACTACCAGACTTTTAGAAGACATCTGAAGGCAGCCCTGTTAAGGGAAGCGTTTAATGTTTGATGTATCACAGTATTTTAATATTCTTTTGGAAGCCGCCCAGAGTGGCTGGGGAAACCCAGCCAGATGGGCGGGGTATAAATAATAAATTATTATTATTATTATTATTATTATTATTACCACTTTAGCTAATGGGGCCTCCCGCTGCTGCTGCGCTGCCGCCGTGCGTTTTCTGTTCTCATCCTGAAGCAAAGTTCTTAACCCGAGGTACTATTTGTGGTTTAGTGGAGTCTGTAACCTAAAGCGTCTGTAACCTGAAGCGCCTGTAACCTGAGGTACCACTGCAGTGTATTTAAGCCCCTGCTTAAATACCAGCCTATTTTCAGTAGTATCCACATCTCTTTATTTTAAAAAATTAAGGGGGAAAAATAGTTTGAAAGTATCAATATAACCAGTTCCTAATCAAACACTTCCCAGTGACTAAATGCTCCCGAGTAAAGAGCAGAGAACAACCTTAATGCCCCTGAACACTTTCTGAGTATCTCTCTTACTCAGATAAGCATAAGAAATGTGGGGCCTGATAGCCAAATTCAGACCCCAGAGGATCAAAGTCCCAGGTCCCAAGGAGGTGAGGGCTTTGTGCATATGAAGTGCTTGATCGCACAGAAACAACCTATAGGCGATGGGCTCATTGACCCTGTCCCTTCCAAAATGAACTGCAACAGAGGCTCCAACGGAGTTCTCTCCTTACTATGCACTTCAGCTGCTCGCTCCTGGGTAGAATCCAAAACACATATGCAACAAGTGGGAGCAGCTGCAATGCATATGGCAAGAATTCTGCTAACGCCACAGTTGCTATTCAGATAGTGGGGTGTGTGTGTGTGTGTGTGTGAGAGAGAGAGAGAGAGAGAGAGAGAGAGAGAGAGAGAGAGAGTAGGTTAACAGGAGCTGCCTAACAGCAGGTGAGTCAGCAGGTGGAGCCAATGTTACCAAGCCTCCAAGTCCTCTCAATTGGAATCAGAGGCCCTATTACAAGTAATTTGTTGACTAAGGGACTGACATATCTGATGCTTCATCTTAGCTTGTGAGGTTTAAACATAAAATTCAGTATTACAAGGTAACAAATACCTTGTCACAAGTAACTGAACATGCAAGGGGGGAAAAGACAACCTCACAGTTCACCACCGTTCAGTGATGTGGGCCCAATCAGAAACCCATCATTAGTCAGAAAAGCACCAACAATTTGGACATGTCAACTGTAAACAATTGCCATCATTAGTATTTCTTGAGAACAGCCACTGTGAATGCTAAACCACAGAAAATGACCATGTTCTACTACATCATGTATTTCAGTGTTTTCTCATTTCATTTGTGAAGACTGGCAGGGGGCAGTTTTGCTGTGCCAGAAAACCCAAAGACTGTCCTGGTTTCCTTGGACAGCTACTGCTTTGCTTTCTGGGCAAAGAGACTGCTAATCCTGCACAAGCTGGGAGCTGGCCTGCTTACCTGAGCAGCTGAAACTTGAGAGTAAAAAAAACCAACCTTCCAAATCACCAGGAAATATGTTTTGGAAATTGTAACATTTGGAGGAATGAGTGTGCCCATTCTTCATCACACTTGACAAACAGGTCTACAAAAATTCCTAGCCCATAATAATATGCACTAGTCTGAATGCCCAAACAAACCTATGTTGGTAATCTGTGGCATTACCAATAGCCTGAAAGAAAAAAGAAAGTGTATTCTTCCATTTTTTCAAGAGCTTTCTTGCTCAGCTGCTCAAAGGGAATCTTAATTTGCCACAGGCAAGGCTACTTGCCACAGTTTGGCTATTTTACAAAATGGTCTTTGTATCACGATTCCAGAGGGTGGTCTGAAAGCTCACCAGTAGGTAATCTATTTCACAGAAACCAGTTTGTCATTACATCCGAACAGAGCAAACCATGGTTTGTATCTGCTGTCAAAACAGGATTGCTAAATTAATAGTCCATCCTCTCACCAAGGAACCCTGGAAATAAAGTGTTGTATCCAACATTAGTCATTCCGCTAGCACAATACTTCTATTCATGCTACAGAACAACCCCCTTCTCTCCTTCAACATATCCTAAAAATCTAGTCTTAAGAACCCCCTGGAGCAGATTTTGGGGGCATGCAGGGAGACAAGAGGAAAGTCCTCTTGCATGTGCAAAAGTCCACACATACAGCTTCTGATACAACTCTAAAAATTTGTGGAAGGCAGAATCTACATTATCACCAACCTTAATTTCCCAGAATTCTTTGTAAGAATCCCTGCTTCTTAAATTGGCATGAAGGCAGATATACCTTTAAATTCCAGGCATAAGATATATCGTGCTTTTTTCCCTTTTAGGAAACAGTAATCCAGCCCCCACATAGAAGGAATGGTTGCAAGTAAGGTAGCAAGCTTATGTGTAGCTTTGAACAGTAAAAATCAAAGTCTCTCACAAAGAGTGGGAAAAAGATATTTATAGGCAAGAACATCTAACAAACGCTTACCAGGTGACAATATTGTCTTGAAACTTCTGTAGACTCTCACTCCTTAAAAGGCAGGCGTAGCAGCTTATCTGTGAAACCTGAAAAGATGAAAGAATAGAACATATGAAAAACTAGACAACCCAGCCTAAAACATACTGGTATTTGTCACTCAGAGAAGTAAGTATAACCAATTCCAGGTGACCAAATCTAATAAAATATTTAAATATATGGGTGACATAAAGCATTGTCAGCCCTCTTGCACAACAGATTTCCCCTTCCCAAAATCTGTTTTGCAGTGTTAGGGAACCCTCCACAGCAGATGGGGGCACAGGGAGATTGAGAGGAGAAGTCTTAATGTGATGTTGGATATCCCAAATTTAAATAGATACACAAACACAGAGTACAATTCCCACAACCAGCTGAGATTAAACACACTATGTGCTAGTTTATCTGTTTTATGATCAGGAAAAAATGAGTAATTAAAATATGTTGCTCTACTGTACCCATAATGGGCCCATCCATATTAGATCATAGTTTCTCTACTCTGGTTTTTAAAAAGTAAGGCCAGGGAGTTCCTTAACATATTATAAAAAGCATGGCCATCAGTTTATTTATTCAAAAAGCAGTGTGCAAATGAGAGAGAAAAGGGCACAAAACATCAAAAGGTAACAGAGTAACAGGAGAAATTAACTACCTACTATTTGATTCATGAGGACAGCCCACCTGTCCCAAGATTACTTAACTTGCTTACAACACAAGGATGGCCAAGTACAGATACATGAGCCAGGCATGACCTAGAAAAGCATTTAATTCAGCCTCTGGAGGCTGAGCAAATCTGGAGTTGTAGTCAAAGTCTGAATATAGTTTAATTTGTATAGGACCAGAGGTGGGGGATCAAGCTGTAAGATATAAAAAAGATTAAATTGTGGACACTCCTCTTTGAATTTTGTAAGTAGTGCCCAAGCACCCATGCACCATCCTTTGCAGTTCCTAGAAGAAGATGGCACCAATCTTATAAGAAAGCCTGGAAGTCAGGTTGCATGGTTTCTATGTTAGTCTCTTACAGCAAAGCAACAAAGGGTGATAACCAACTAAGTCACAGAGTAGGCCCATTCATTTCAATGGGTCAAGTCAACTGATGCCAATAGATCTTACATACTGCCAGTATGACTAACATTGTATATCAGTACAGTCATACCTTTGGTTAAATACGCTTCAGGTTGAGCATTTTCAAGTTACGCTCCACGGAAACCCAGAAGTAACAGAACACGTTACTTCCGGGTTTCGCCGCTCGTGCATGTGCAGATGCTCAAAACGACGTCAAGCACATGTGCAGAAGCGGCAAATCGCGACCCGCGCCCTCACAGACGTGGGTTGCGTTCGCTTCAGGATGCGAACAGGGCTCCGGAACAGATCCCATTCGCATCCAGAGGTACCACTGGATATACATTGTATATCACTGTATATCAGTAAAGGGTCTTGGGGCACCTTAAAAAGTATAGTCCACAAAAGCTTCTCCCATAATCAGTAAATTTTTATGCTGCTTTAGTAATGCTTGGCTTGAAAGAAACAAACAAGTACCAGTCAAACCAAAATCAACACAGGTAGAATGTACATTGCCATGTGTAGCAGTCCTGTAATTACATCAGCCAGTTATTAACAGAGATTTCTGGGGTTACCCCAAGGGAAAACAGCAACTACATCAACTGGAACTTAATTACCCTTTTCGCCAACGGAACTAAAGTTTGAACCCGTCTGCTAAAGATTCAGCAGGAGATTTCTGATAACAGCTGCCTCTGGTCAGAGGTGGGTCTGATCTCTGCACAGTTTCTAGGATGGACTTCCTAGCCCCAACTCAATCCTATACTGAAATTCAACAACCAAAGCCCCGCACCCCATCACCACAATTGGAAAACTCCATTCCCATAGGGGTTTTTTTTTAAAAAAAAAAAATCAAGTATCCCAAGAACAATAAAGCCAACTAAAATAGTATCTGCAGTACGTTAAAATAGTCATAAAGCAAATTCTAGATCATAAGCAGCTCAGAAAAAGTCTTCATCATTTATTGCCCAAAGGCCTCCCTGTGCAAATGGGTCTTCGTTTAGCTGCCCAAAAGGCCATGACTGGGGTACAAAACCACACCACTTGAAGTTATTCTGCAGTCCCAGAGTCACAACCAAGAAATCCCTGTTCCTCATTAAAGATGAATAATGCAAAATAAAGGGGTGGGAGGACATCAGAGCCTTCATACAGACATTCAAACTAGCACTATTTTGAATGTCTGAAATGAACAAGGAAGTGAACTGTATTCCCCCCCCCTCTACCCACTATCCCAGGAAACCACAGAATAACTGCTTAGTGACTCCATCAAGCATGCTGACATTTCAGATCTGACGTCTACTGACATTCTGTTCTCCTGCATGAAGAGCTTTGTATAAACTGACAATTTGCATTGTCTTGCACCAAGGGAACGTGATCCTTCTACAGAAGGATATCACATTACCAATTTTCTATATTTATTTGTCTGTAATCAACCTGGGAATACTTGAAAAGCAGATTTCTTTTAGAGGCATGGGCACTGGGCACCACAGATGCTAAGGCCCTTCCCATCCCAAATCATTATGTCTTGAAGGAGAGAAGGAGGTGGTCAGTCTGTCCCAGTACAACATTATTATTATTATTATTATTATTATTAATTAAATTTCTATACCGCCATTCAGCTGAGGTTACCACAGGGCAGTGTACAATATGAAAACACAAAAATGCATAGTATAGTAATAAATAACAACCCCACACACACGCCATTTAAAAGACCATCAATTTGTTTTAATTAGCCAAAGGCCTGAGAGAAGAGGAATCTTTTTGCCTGGCACCCAAAGATATGTAACGAAAGTACCAGGCTAGTCTTCCTGGGGAGAGCATTCCACAAATGTAGAACCACCGCCGTAGGGTGGGTGATGTCTGGTTTTCAACATGGAGATATATCACCAGGTAAATATCGTGATACACCAATACAGTGGTACCTCAGGTTACATATGCTTCAGGTTACAGACCCTCCGCTAACCCAGAAATAGTACCTCAGGTTAAGAACTTTGCTTCAGGATGAGAACAGAAATCGTGCTCCGGCGGGGCAGCAGCAGGAGGCCCCATTAGCTAAAGTGGTGCTTCAGGTTAAGAACAGTTTCAGGTTAAGTACGGACCTCCGGAACGAATTAAGTACTTAACCCGAGGTACCACTGTATATCACAATGTATGGAATGAGGATGGAACTATGCAGAGAAGAACGGGACAATGTCCTGGCAACTGCTACTACTTAGGGAACTAAAAATGACAAAGTTTTAATTATCTTTAACATATTGCTACAACTGTTATTTTAACGTACAGATCATTTTTAAATTAGCACATTTTCTCTAAAATTAAAAGCTGTAGATATCCAAGGTAAGGTGAGAGAATGTTTTCTAAAAATTTAATTACATTACTAAACAAGAAAAAAGCCAATTCTGTGCCACACTTTTAGATATTCAAATATAATTCACTATGGGGTCTTAGTTGACTACATGTATACATCCCACACCACCAGTTCTTTTGACTGATTGTCAATTTTCTATACCAGGCCAAACTAGAAAGAATGGATAAAAATTTACGGAACAAAAAAAATCTTAGACAATTAAAAAAAAAATGCCAGAAAAATTTGCATTTCAGCATTCTCTAGTAAGAGAAACACCCTTTGCTTTTGAAGAACATTGCCAGCCATGCTGAAAACACTTTCACATGGCACACTTGTTCCTGGGATAGCTAAAAACCTCTTTACAAGCGACTTCAACACTGGGAAGGATGCCTCTTGTGCCTTTCACCACATCAGAGGGAATGCATCAAAATTCACTCTTCGCATAGCCATATAGTTTTGTAGCTCTCCTCCTGCTTCCAGTACAGACAATGGTGCTAATCCATCACCTGCCGGGCCCTCTTCTTCCTCTAAATCATTTTTTTTTTTTTTTGGCCAACCCTTTTTCTTTTAATGGAGTTGGCCGGGTATTTGGCTCTGTGGAAACAGCACACAGAGAAGGAGAGAAGCGAGAAGGGAGATATAGAAATGAGGGAGACACGGACACAGAGAGAGAGAGAAAGGAGAAGGGAGGAAAGAATGAACTGTAAAACATTATGGATTTAGATTAGTATGAAAAGAGAAGAAGATAGTAAAGTGAAGGAGTTAATTTTATTAGAAAGAAGATATTGGAGAACTGTTACAAGGTGATTCAATGAAACTCAGTTGGGGGGATTCGAGGAAGTCAGTTAACAATGAAAATTAATGGGGGTCTAAGAAGTAATATGTGTTTATATTTTTGTTTCTTTCTTTTTTTAGTATTGTGTTGTCTTTTTCTTTGTGTGTTTTATATGTTATATCTGTTATAAATGTGGGAAATCAATAAAAAAAATTGAAGGGAAAAAAAGAAAGGAGAAGGGAGGAAAGAGGTTTAAACAACAGGGCAAGCTTGCTTTTTTTAAACAACAGGGCAGCAACATGGGGCTTTTGGTAGGCAAGGTGGAAAGGGCTTTCTGGTCTTGAGGGGACCCCGGTGGGGTTTGGGTCTCAGGAGGAGCTGGGTATCAGGAGGCACCCATGGGAGGGCCGTGCCAACAGAGAGAGCCCAAAGAGAATGGAAGGGGGAAAGGTGCTCCTAGCAAGAAATTCAGACTAGCATCTCTCTCAGCCACCAACCAGCCTGGTGCCTGCATTTAAAACAAGGAGCTTGTGGGTGTCTATATTACTTAGGAAAGTTCCCAGATAGGTTGCTTTCTTCAGCATCTGCTCTTGTGGTTCACTGGCCCCTGCAAGAGGCAGGGGAGAGCTGAGAGGCAGCAGGAATCACGAGAGAAGCAGTGGCTGGCTTCACGGTTTTCCCCACATTGTGATTTTCAACATAGTGCGCATGCACATCGTGATTCGCAACACATCATATTGATACACTACCCAGAAAAGGCCCATTCTAGTGTTGTCACCCTCTGGACCTCTCATGAAAGGGGCACATGAAGAAGGGCCTCAGATGATGATCACAGGGTCAGTTCATATGGGAAGTGGCAGTCCTTGAGATCTTAGTTTCATGCCTTAGCTTCAAAACATTACAACACTGCCTGGGCAATGGCTATTTCCCAGCATGTTCCTCCTACAACACATTACTAACATCATAATATGCTATGTAGATGGCTGCAAAAATAGGAAGAAAAAAACCCCCTCACATTAATCAGTTTTCTCATCAGACTTGAAATAAATGTGTGGCAGTTTCAAAGATGGCTTGGTGCAACATCCGCTTTCTGAAAGTCGATTTTGTTGCCAGCCGTCTGGAAACTCCATACAAGATGGAATGTCCTAGGATAGCACTGCACATGTATGTTAGCAACGAATGTATTTTAAATCAAAGAACAATCAACACCACAAAAACTCACTGGCTCACAAATCATTTTTCTTTAGCACCCCATTACGGAGATGAGATTTTTCCCTAACTAGTAAATTTGCCTAACTGCTTTGCAGATCAGCAAAATGGTCTATAGCCACACTTGATGTCATTCTATTACTGAAGTTAAGCAAGACTGGTCTTGTACGTTACCTGGATTGAAGACTAACCAGGAACCATATGTTGACAACTCTTGAGTTCCTTGGAAGAAGATTGATGCAAATGACTAGGAGCCCACAAATATTGACTGACCTCTGTAGTCAATCATTATTTGTAACTGGTCACAAGTTTGCCCCCTTCCAAATTCTCCAGCACACATGAAGGACTTGGGAGAAGGGAGAGGTCAGTCTCCCATTCTGCAGACACTCTAATAATGCCTTCAAAGAGTTGAGCACAAGAAGTCAATTAATTCACACCAAATTTTGAAGGCAATTAGAATCAGAGACTGTGTGTGTGTGTTGCTGTCATAAAAAACCCCCAGAAAAGCTTGGATGCCAAATGAAAAGGGCACACACACACACACACACACACACACACCCCAGACGCCACTCCATTACAAGAACACAACAGAAGATCTGCTGGATTAGCCCAAAGGCCCATCTAGTTCAGAATCCTGTTTTCACAGTGGCCAATGCGATGCCTATGGGAAGCCCCAAAGCAGGATCTAAATGCAACAGTGTTCTCCCCTCTTGCGATTCCCAGCAGCCGGTATTCAAAAGTTTTCTTCCTCTTTGTACGCATGAGATCAGGAAGGGTGATGTGTCCCTCGCCCACTTAGTACAAAACAGAAGATTGCTCCAATAGAATTGTGCCTGACAAATTAGGCACGGGGAGGCATCTTGTCATAATGGAATCAAGTCGATGGCTGCCAGAAGAAGTTAATGATCATCAACAGCAGCCACATTTGCAGAAATCCATACTACTGCAAGAAATAACTCACTTTCAGAAGGACACAAAGATAAAACTTTTTTTTGTACACAGATGAGTACTTTAAAGGAACCTAAAAAAATTAGAGGAAGTAGCAAGGAAAGTAAATGAAACCACTGCAGTGGATTATGTGCAAGACTTGCTGTATTGCTTAACTGCAAACCAGTTCAATTGCTCTTTGGCACACCTGCAAAATGTAAGAGCTCTTTCCTATAGTCTGAATACTGAGTCAGCATCAGAACTTTAAAGGAGCACTAAAAATGCTTTCCAAGTAGAATTTGGTCTTGGACAACTCAAGCAAGAAATATCAAGATAGGAAAATGAGAAGCCTCTCAATCAAAGTAAACCCTGTCATATTTAGAAAACCACAGGTGCTGCCCTGGGAAAGTTGATGAAGGATGTGTTAAGACCCACAGCTTCGGGCATGATCAACTACAGAAGAAAAGAATCACACAAGGAAATGGTATGGGGACTTTGTTTGCACAACCCTTATTTTCCACCTCACATCCATTTATCTTTCAATTTTCAAAGTTAAAATATACTAGCCATCACAAACAAAAATATACATTTTACGTAATAATGTTTGAGTCCCCCTGACTGGCTGACCCACAGAGGTATCAAAATTGTCAGGACACCCTTCATAAGGGAGGAAAAAACTGAGATTTGTAGTATGTGTAATCCAAGACAGCCCATTTCCTAAAAATGAAACACGTTTTCTTCTAGCAAACTGCTGCCTGCCTTATAATAGCTACCAACTCTCCTCAAAGAGCAAGCCTGGCCACACATGCGGTGGAATGCAAGGGTGTGGAGTTTTCCCTTTATACAGCCATCGATGAGAGATGGAAATTTTGGAGGCAGGCAGGAAGAATACACAGAGTAAATGCAGCCTTATATTCTGCAACCACATTCCTGAATGCCACTGCAAATACTCTACCTCCTCCCTAGCTTGTTCCAATTTTAGACTAACACTCTCACAGAAAGTGCATCCCGCCCTCAGTACCTTCTCCTGTAAGCTTTGTTTAGTCGGGTTTCCATTTTGCTGTAAAGTGACAATGGTGTACTAAAATTCCTTTCCCACTTTTGAATATAACAGTCAATATTTCAACAATTATATATTTCTACCAATTAATAGCACATTGATAAAAAGTAATGGAAACCCACTTTATATTTTTATTGCCACTGACTGGTTGTGCCTGAAACTACAAACCCCTGGTACTTGTCACTCAGTGTGTCTGGCATGCAGTTTTCTCCAAATCCAGGCTCATGGTTTATTATCACCAAATCTTGGTAACTGCTTGTGGTTTGCTTGGAGATTCTTGGTTTGGATGACATGACAAGCCACACAAACCAGATGCTGGCAAATCCTAGGCTAAGACAAGGAAACAGATAGCTCAACAGAATATGACAAGCTTCAACAGCCAATATATTCTATGTCGGGCCTGGAAGACAAGGTTTGGTGCACCTAATGAGCCAGCCCCATATCTCAGAACAGCAGTATTTAAATTTCCATGCATGCATTCATATGTGCACAAAAATCTCTGCGGTTTCCTCTTCTGACTAGAATGCCTTGTGCTGCATCAAATGCCCTTCTGGCAGGTCTCTAACTTTGAGAAGCTGGTTTTTGAGAGACACAAAGGCTGTGGTAGGAAGTGGCATAGTGTGCAGCTATATGGATGCCAGATGGCTTCATGTGTTTGGTTTAAGCTACCTACTATTGATGGACAGCAGGCAACAGACGTATTCCTCTTACTAAACTATTGCTTTGTAGATTTGCTTCCAGGGGCCATCGCTAGGTAAAAAGCCAGCTATGGAGAAAGGCAAGCAATAGTCTGTGGTGCACTCAGGTAAATAATAACAGCAATGAGATGAAATCACAGTATGAAAAATAATAATATAATCCATCATGATACTGGACTAATAATGATCATAGGACAGGGCCTCGTGATTTCATTCTATCCAAGACCCACAAGAGAATATCATAAATATGGTGAGCAATGGAAAATTATATAGAAATACCAGTATGAATCACAAACTGAGATGGATCTTGAAATGTTAAGAACACACTATACTTTCTTTCTCTCATGCACATACATTGCCTCCAGTCAACTGTGAAAAGCTAAGCGTAGCAAAACCATGCTGTTCTACGTAGTAGAAAACTAGTCGGCACGGAAAAAGATACTACCCTTCAGCGTCAGCATATTCCAGCATTTTTAAGAGTGCACTCACCATACATACAGTCTCACAGTTCATTAAACAACAGCAACTGCAGCTTGCACTTTGTTTGACCGCATCTCTGGATAATAGGTTCTTTGGTGACAAGTCCACATGCTTAAGAACCAAAACATGCAAACAACACAAAACAAAGGACTCAAAGAGCAATGAAAAGTGAAGCCCAAGGCTTATTTGCTTAGGGTTACAGGTAAGCATTATCATTCCAAAATTCCCCATTTCATTTATATATTGAAAGGCATTTATAAACAACTTAATATTTTAAAAAATATCTAAGCAGCATATAATATAAAAAAGCAAGCAGTATCATTAAAACAAATAGAAACCTAAAAACAGCAGCACAGTAATATAAAAGTGTGGGAAAGCATATAAAAGCAAATAAAAATTCAGAAAACTCAAGCAAATAAAGCAAGGCCCAACCACAAGGGTCAAGGGACAGCCTGAGGAAAAAGACACATCTTTACAATATATACAATGACTCTTGGGGTTCCTTCCAACTCTAAGATTCTATGATCCAAAGCGTTTGATGGTTGCCGCTTCATGTAAATTTTGAGACGAAAGCACACATGTGCACGTTTCTAAACTTCATGTTGCACAGAGGATTAAAAGTAGGACGCTACAAATACTAACGGATCAAGCACAAAGAGGAAATAAAACTCCACTTAACTAGTTTGCAACCGTTACAATGTACAAATCAAGATTCCAAGATCTCCCAAGCTCTGCCTCGTGTGTTGTATTGAGGCTAACCTTTCTAGAATAAGAACACCCTGAAAGTGTGTTCTTATTAGTTACAAGCTAGGCCAATCACACAACTGAAAGAACCAAGTTGGCTGCAAGAGCAGCTCGTAAGGTATTTTCAATATGGCTTGCAGGGCTGGGAAAGGTTACCTACCGCTGTACTAAACAACCATCTTGAACACTGCTGGCAAGTGAAAGATTTTGGTCCTGTAAGCAACAAGCTATGTTCAGAAGAAACTGCACACCGCAATAGGCTTGTCACAAGTTCTGCCTGCATTCAGTTAATGTTTCCTTCCTTCTACTGGGTTGAGTCACATCCTCCAGTTTGTTTCCCTTTTTTAAAAGAAACTAGACTATGTTAAGAGGCAAGGGCTGCAATTCTGCATACATTTATATGGGAGATGGCCGCTTCCTCGCTGCTTCATGTATGTTACCACAACTATCAATGCACTATTCCAAAAGACAAGACTCGTATTATTATCATCCCTGTAATCGAGAAATCTTGATTTCATGACTGAAATTTGAACTGCACCTTCCGGCGCACAGCTCATGCTCTTTATCAGTGTCCTACAATGGCTTTCCAGACTGCTGCTAACTATTGTTGCCCCAGGCATGCTAAAAAAAACTCCCAGGAGAGAAAAAGCCCATTCCCGATTCAGTGGGTTTAACTAAATGTTGCCCTGACCACTGGCCATGCTTTCTGGGACTGAGGGGAGTTGCAGTCCAAAACATCAGAAGGGCACCAGGTTGGGAAAGGCTGGCATAGGAGAACATGACTAGAAGCTTACAGCGGAGGATAAAGTTTCTACACATATCCCAAAAGATTCCCCCATTGAACATTGGAGCCTTCTGTAATGTCTTCCTGCATTGCTAAAAAGTGGGGTGGGGGGTGGGGAGACAGTCACAGCGACAATTTTAACTTAAGTTACCACACAGCTTTGCACAGAAATGTAAATTATGATAATCAGGATCACCCAGCGTTAGAGAGAACACAGCATCGACACAAATGATCATTTTAAAGGACTTTGCAACAGTATTTTTTAAGCCAAACTGGTTTTTTATTAGTGTGCTTTGTATGAGGAAGTGAGAATTGTGTGCTCATTTCTTCAAACAAATCCTATTTTTAAGGGCTATACTCAGACACTCTTCTATGAAGTGCTATATTAAATGTTCCATTTTTAGAAGAGTATAATTGGGAAGCAAACTGCCATTCTGATCATATTCATCTTTGTACTTCCCGTTAAAGAAAGAACGGGGGAATTTTGTTCATACAAGAATCTGAATAGTAAGCAAGCTCAGTCATCATTGAACAGGGTAGGCAGCTGGAAGGTACTCAAGTCTGCTATCCTAGAGGGGGAGGCCGGAACTAGATGTGGGCCTGGGGAGGATTACAGGTGTACTGGGAACCCAGCCAACATGCCATCCATCCTTGGGGTTCAAATGGTTAAATTTGAAAGGGGATAAGAGAGGTCACTTCCATTCAGCTTCAAAGAAAATGCCACCCCAAAGAGGCACCCCTCCCACAAGGATGCTCCTGGAAGCACCATGCTCTTCCATTTTTTTCTGTATCACTAGAAAAGACCGAAGGCTGCCCTGCTGGGCTCACAAAATTCATTCATTCAATTTGCCCCTTCACCTGCTCCTCCCCCTTTTCTGGTTCTTGGCACACTGCTTACAATTCTGACCCCAATAATGGGAAAGCAATTTGCTTCGCCTGCCAAACTCTTTGTACAAATACTCAGCTTTCTCAAACGATGGTGAAAAAAAATCCTAAGTAGTCGCTGAATCCACAATCCGTAGACAGTGCCGTGTATACTCTTCACTACAAAATAATGGTGATGATCAAGATTTGCTCCAAAAAGCACCCTGAATACTGCACCTCGTACAAAATATGTACCTTCAGCAATTGTGCATAATTTCTCATTTTGCATACATTATTCTGCTGTTGTTAGTTATGTGAGAGAGACAAAGAACTATGCAGGGCATAAAAGCCCCATTCCAGACCACTGGGAATCAAGCTAGTTCCCCGGTTTGTAAGATTTTGATACGAATTGCCTGCAAACTTTTAAGCATATCGTTTGCAGTCCAAATGGGCAGACACGTGGTTTTTAGTGGGGGTTATCTGCGAACTGAATTCTGCACATATTCTATTTTGTGCTTTTTCGGTGCTCCCACAAAGTAACAGTTCAGCACAGAGATACACATGCATGCCTATGCACAGTCCAATCCCATATGAAAGGCGATGACAGCTTGCAATTTGGCAAGGCGGCTGAACGAAAGGCATTCTGTATCTGCTTTCTGGGAAGGCTGGGCCAAGAAGAAGTAACAGCATATAAACTACTTGGGTCAGAATTACGAACCCACCTTCCGCCATGCTGAAAGAAATGCAACTCCAACTGTGAATTTAATGAAACCGCATAGATTTAGTATAGAATTCATGATGAATGACTGCACACCCTTCCATAGTATATATTCTTTTGATGTGAAAATGAAACTGGCCTTAGCAATTCAGCCTCTACTATTCATGGAAGCTCCTTGAATTGGATGAAGACAATGCATTAACGAACAGAAAGAAAAAAGCGAGATACTCTGGATACAGTTGACAGCATGGAGAGTCCCATCTATATCACTCATGCTTGTAAGAGATGCCCCATCCACCTCAATGGAGCGTCCATTCCAAAGAAGCATTCCTCTGTATATGTGAACTGCTTCCTGTGTATCTCAAGAAGTGTGCATGCACACAAAAGCTCATACCAATAACAAACTTAGTTGGTCTTTAAGGTGCTACTGGAAGGAATGCTTTTATTTTGCTTCCTTCCAACAAAGGAAATAGGGGAAGTCAGGTGGAGATTCATTAGGCATGGTTATGCGTCCATTTTGGCTTCCCAGCAAAAAGAACAAGAATGAAACGCAGTGACATGGAACTCTTACCCCTCCAAGAGTCCAATGGCCTGTTGAAATGCCTGTTTAAGAAACCATCTCTTAGTTTTGGAATTCCCAAACTCACCTGCCATTTCCTTTCTACTCCCTTTCTTTCCATGTCTTAAGACTGTAACTGTGCAAATGTTATATGCGGCACATTGCTACTCCAAGCATTCTATAGAAGCCCTACAGAAATACTAAGTAACAGAGATTCATTTATTTTTCTGTTCAAGACCTGGCATGAGAATCACTGTCAGGTGGGGCTGCGGCTGACAAAAAGGATGGTAAAGCCCCATAGCCCCTTTCAGAAGTCTACTGTTTCTATAGAATTCAAAGGGAAATAAATTTGCTTAAGCGTGACAGGCTTCTCTTTTACTCCTAATGCCAACTACACCCACCTTGTGCCCAGTGTGGTGTTTTAACATGCACATTTTAATCCCCCTCTCAAACAAGTTATACTACCTTTCCTTGTATTGTATATTTAAAAAAACCCCAAAGAAAATTCACCCAAAGTATCAAAGAAGTGGAAGTTGCACAGAACCCTCACCAAGAATCTAAGCACAACACTTTAAAAGAATGGCACCTGAGGAACTACTCAACTTCTACAGATTCCCAGTCCACATGAGGCTGTCCACTAACAGGAAGAAGAGGGTCTTCTTCACACAAGCAGTTTTGGAATCCACAACCAAAAGATGTGGCAACCATCACCAGCAGACATGGGTTTGAAAATAGGTATTTCCATTGAAGAATAGACTTATTAGCCATGGCAGCTAAACAGAACTTACATGTTCAGAGCGTACTTGGATGTTGGATGCCACTCACTGTGCTGCTTGTGAGCTCCCAGAAACTGGCCACTGCTGCAAAAAGAATGCTGGTATTGATGGACTTTGGTCCAATTCAGCAAGGCCATTTTAAGCACCATCAATACCTTCCGCAATTTGGAAAAAAGCAGCATTTTCTCCAGTTCCAGTGGCGATTCCATTGCATGTAACGCTGAGCTCTCTAAAAGGAAGCACACAGCAGTTTACATAGGTTGTAATGCAGACTCCCACCCGGGAAACTTCAAAGGCCAGAACTACCTTGATTCATCACTTAGATTTCTACCCTCTTCTGGGCCAGTTATCTAATAATTTGATTTCAGAATTGATGTTGAGCTTTACTAACTTCCTGGTGTCAAAAGTCAGCCCTCATGGCTAGGTAGATATCGGCCTGACAATTTTGCAGACGCATCAAAAGCTTGTTTATGGCATTTTAAATGTTAGCTATACCAAACAACCAAGTTGCCAAGCTTGTTCTCTCTTTGCACTGTATGATAATCACGATCAGTTTTAATCCATTCAATTACATTTGTTAAATGAGAACAAATAATCCTGTTTTCTGACTCAAAAATTGAAATATGTCAAAATTCACTGTGTTCCTTTGCAATTTACTGTATAAATGGAATCTTTTATAAATACAATTCTTGCTCACTGGAAATACTCCTATATTTAGGATGTTCGCCCTGCTAATCATATCCACAAGGCCATGCTGCACAAATTTAGCCTTAATGCTGGTTTCCAAACACCAATTGCCTACACCTGCTTAAAGCCCACAGAAGGGAAGGCAAATCTTTCAGAACGAAGTCCCTGCTGTTACTTCAGTGTGCCTTCCAACACAGCAAGGCTATGAAGTTATAAAATCTGCCTGGAATAGTTGTGGGAGGGAAACCTTTGCCAAAGAGTGTGGGAGTCTTGCCAGCATTTGCTGTAGAGTTTAAACTTCAATTTTAAGAGGGGGAAATAATACTGTACACCACCAGCAGCTTTCAAATGATTTAATAAAAGGATATTTACATAACAAGAGTAACTTCACTCTGATCTAAGAGGTCCCTACATACAGATGATCCCACAAAAACAGTAGCATCTCTGGAACTTAATCCAAGCACTGACAGGCTGCTGACAGAAAGAGAGAAAAAGGACAAAGGAAGCAGCTTTAGATCAGGCTGTATCATTGGTCCATCTAGCTTAGTAATGTCTATATTGGCTGTGTTCATTAAGTTATGGTTTGTTTTTAACCATGGTTTCTTCAACAAATCACAAGTCAGTTCACAGACAAGCAAACAAACAGAGGCTTCACACTGTAGTTTGTTGGCAGAAAGCAAACCATGGGTAGTGTGCAGGCTTGATTCAAATAAATCATAGTTAGACTAAACAAACCAAGACTTAGTATTACGTGAAAACCATGCCACTGACTGGCAATATCTCTCCAGGGTTTCAGGTTGGCATCTTTCCCAGTCCTGCCTGGATATGCCAGGGACTGGACCTTGGAACAAAGAAGGGTTGTCGTTTAGCTTGCATGACATTTTTTTTTTAAAGCATCAGACAAACTCATGGACAAATTACTATCAGTAATTATTTGCCATGATAGATATATGGAACTTCCATATACTTGGGCAGTATTCTGCTGAATACCAGGTAGTAAGAGACAGACAACAGGGGAGATCTCCCTCTACTTTATGTTCTGCTTCTGAGCTCTCAGAGGTTTGTGATTGGCCCTGACTAGATTAGGTATGACCAAGCAAAGAATTTGCAAATTCCTAAATTACGGTACTTGTTCTTCAGAAATTCCATACTGAACCAGGTTTCTGGACCAGGCTCATGATGATGGTGATACATCTCATGTACTGAAGGTTGTTTCGCCACCCCCCAATAAATCATTGGACTCGCTTGATGAACACAACCAAGTGAGATGGATGCAGGTAGAATCAAGGAAAGTAGCATTGCTTTTGCCAGAATTTTACTAGCATTTTTAAGATTAAAAATAAAGAGGGCAGTGGTTTGTTTGAAAGACTCAGTGCCATTTTAAAGAATGAGACAAGGCATACTAAACTTTGCCTCTGGGTGACTCCAGCTGGCTGCAAGATGCAGCTGACAAGGCATGGTCTCTGCTGCAACAGCAGTTTGGTAGCCAACCTTTTTACTGTAACTGTTATCCACATTAAGAGAGAGAGATACAGAGAAATGTGAAGGGTTTGTTGCCTTATAGCTCACAGTAGCTTTCCATGAGACTGAAGTCCACCCTTTCTTTAAAATTATCTGTTCTTGCTAGCAGCAAGCAAACTGCTCTTCTCAAACAGAAGCAACACGCTGAGCATCTCCTCACTCAGCACACTAATGTGCCCTTATGTCTGACCTGAATGACGAACTGCTATGCCATAACCAGCTCAGCACTGAGGCTTCAGACTAAAGATCACAGACATTACCAACAGGACTGGAAAATTCCAATTCCTAGGCATCAGAATAAAAGTGCATAGTCACCTGTTACCCACAACTTTTGTAGCTACGATTTGTATAGTACTTTACAAAGTACGACATGTTTCCCACACAAAACAACTTTAGTAACCCTTAGAAACCCACTCCAACCCTTAAGCTGCGTGAGCACTGTTATCCCAAACTGTTGCCTGGGAGCAGGATGATTGTCTAAGGCAACCTAACCCATCCCATGAAACTCGCCAGATTTGTATCTGCAACTTTCTACCTCAGTTTTCTGGCCACGTTACTCATTGCCAGAGCAACTGAAGTTCAATTTACAACCTAGGTTTTTTGTTGTTTTGTTAGGCTAGGCAGTGGTGTCCAAACTTTTTTCAAAGAGGGTCAGATTTGATGAAGTGGAGGGCCATAAGGGCTGACCAAAGGGCCAGCCAAAGTTGTTGATCTTTTTAAAGGATTGAAGTGGTTAAGCTTTTTTTTATGATTTTACCCCAAAGTTGTTGAGCTTGTTTTAGGATTGAAGTTCTTGAGCTTGAGCTTCTTTTAGGGTTGAAGTTGTTGAGGGTTTTTTGGGATTTTACCCCAGGAAATAAACTGCCATGGGGGCCAGATTAAACCGACCAGCAGGCCGGATTAGGCCCCCAAAACAGACTTTGGACACGCCTGGGCTAGGGAGTCAAATTAAGTGTTCATGGCCAAGCCAAGCGGCCATCAGAAACCGATTCAGAGAATGCAGCAATGTACTAGGTTTGTTTATGTTTAAATATGAGCCACTCCGCATAAATTCAAATATTTCAACACTAACCACATTGATGAAGCACAGACATGCAATGCAGGTAGGTTGCTTCAGATGGCTGGCACTCTGGAAAGAGCCGCTCTCACACTGATAGTAACCAGGCTGGGATGAGGAGCTGTGATGCAGCTTCTGCCACATACACAAGGAGAACAAAAGGGAAGTTGGACTGTGCTTTCACAGCGCAGGCCACAGCATATTTAAAGAGAAGCATATTTAAACAGACTTTGACTACAAGAGAACATCCTGTAGTATTTCATGGTTGATAAGGAGAAATAAAATCTTCAGGGCTCATTTTATAATTGCTGGAAATGTTTTGATCCCATGGGGCCAATTTTACACGCCTAAGGTGGAAGAGCCTTTGTTGATGTAAGTTCTTTAAATGTTTTGAAGGCTATTTATAAAATAGCATGAGTAAAGACTGTTGTTAGATCGTGAAGTTATTCTATTCAGCTGCTAGGACAACATAATTAATGAAGAAAAAAAAGAACTTGACCGAAAGTCCACTTGTTGTAAAAAAAAGAAAAAAGGGGGGGAAAGGATATTAGAAATCATAAAAACAACTAGAATGGATACAAAAATGCAGTGTTGCCATACTAGTGAAAATGATCACCTTACTTTGCACTTGAGGACAACTTGGCAAACAGTGGCAATGCATCTGATTAAAGGGGCTTGAGCCCCCAAAACTTTTTATTACAAGAGATTTCCAAATCTTTAAGGCACCACAAAACTCTGATGTTTCTGATAGTCATCATTTTCTAAAGATTTCGGCCTTAAGGAAATGAAAATTCTGGAGACTGCTTAGTCATTCATTTTTGGCTTCATAAGCATCACACTATGCAAAAATAAAAATCTGTTAAGATGTAAAGGTAAAACTTAACTTGTCTATGCTACTTTATATAAAAGGTAAAGGTAAAGGTAAAGGTGTTGGAGGTGATTCTTGAGAGTCCCATGGACTGCAAGAAGATCAAACCTCTCCATTCTGAAGGAAATCAGCCCTGAGTGCTCACTGGAAGGACAGATCCTGAAGCTGAGGCTCCAATACTTTGGTCACCTCATGAGAAGAGAAGACTCCCTGGAAAAGACCCTGATGTTGGGAAAGATTGAGGGCACAAGGAGAAGGGGACGACAGAGGACGATGTGGCTGGACGGTGTTCTTGACGATACCAGCATGAGTTTGACCAAACTGCGGGAGGCAGTCAAAGACAGGAGTGCCTGGCATGCTCTGGTCCATGGGGTCACGAAGAGTCGGACACGACTAAACAACAACAACAACAAAAGTTAAAGGACCCCTGGATGGTTAAATCCAGTCAAAGGTTACTATGGGGTGCGGCGCTCATCTCGCTTTTCAGGCCAAGGGAGCCAGAGTTTGTCCCCAGACAGCTTTCCAGGTCATGTGGCCAGCATGACTAAACTGATTCTGGAGCAACAGGACCGTGATGAGTGCCAGAGCGCACGGAAACACCATTTACCTTCCCACCGCAGCAGTACCTATTTATCTACTCATGCTGGTATGCTTTCAAACTGCTAGACTGGCAGGAGCTGGGACAAAGCAATGGGACCTTACCCCGTACCGCAGATTCAAACTGCCAACCTTCTGATTGGCAAGCCCAAGAGGCTCAGTGGTTTAGACCACAGCACCACCCACAGCCCTGCTGCTTTATATGAGGAAAGGGGGTGTGTGAAATCTAGAAAGACAGACAGGCACAAACATGATGGTATCAGCAACTTAAAAAAAAAAAAAAGACACAGAAGTACATTACATCAGGAGATGACTGAGCAGGGGGTGGGGGAGGAAATCAGAAACTTTCTGCTGATACCCTGAAGTGTGTTCGTGAGGAGCAAGTGTTTCCTCATTTGTGAAGTGGGACACTAGTGGGGCACTAATATGTTTTATCGCTGTATCTGGAGCAAGCAAGGGAGGCAGAACTGTGACTTAAATGAGGGAAGTAAAAGTAATTTCACTTTCAAATCCCCTTTGTGCAGCCAGTAAAACCAAAATAAGTGAACGCCAACAAAGTTATGTGGATATGTATTCACTGTTGACAGTGGTAATTATTCAGGACTGGTCTATCCACACAGGAGAATCAGATTAATAAAATCCCTTAATCATCAATGGGTTTCGCCTTTAATTTATTGTGGATTCTGATTAACCCACTGTTTACCTAAGAGATTACAATTTGGAGACTGATGGGGGTTTTGCTGCAAGATAACAGCATGGCCCTACAAACCATATCATCAACAGCTCAAATCAGGGCAGTTAATAAATGAAAGTTCAAAATGGACTTCTGTCCTGAAACTTATCATGTTTACATTGGGAATATGTCTCCCTTGTTTTGGTAGAAATCACTTCCAAATACTTGGGCTACAAAAGGGCCATGGAGCTATGCAAGAGACAACCAAATTGTTTCTTCTGGAACCAGCAACAACATGTCTTAGCAAAAAGCTTTATTGCACATAGAAGCAAGCCAGTCAGATGGGCAGGGTACAAATAAATTATTATTATTATTATTATTATTATTATTATTATTATTATTACTACTACTACTACTACTACAACTACACAGGGTAAGTCACATTTCTAGCAAATCATGTCAGTAGGGTAGACAATCTTCATTGGGCTGTCACTTGTGACTGGGAATTTGGACTACTTACTAGACAGAAGAATCCGAACACATAGCATGCACACCGACAGGAATGGTCACTTGGAGATTTTTTTCCCCCAGCTGCCATTACGTCTTTTTTATATATAATTTATTTATTTGATTTTACAAATTAAAATTTACATTCATAACCAGAAATAAAGAGAAATACACAAAGATTCCCCCAAATCTTTGGACTTCCCTCCACCTCTCCATGGCTTTCCGTTACTAATCCTTTTCCTCTGCATATTTTAAGTCACTCCATTTTTAAAAACACTATATCCATCATTCTTATTACATTACAAGTGTTTTTAAAATCCTGCCAAAGAGTTCAACTGCTTATAGTGGTCTCCTAGATAAACTATAAATTTCCCCCATTCTTTATTAAAATCTCGGTTTCTGATTTTCCCAGTCATTTTCGCCATCTCTGCAGAGTCCATCAGCTTGGTCTGCATTCTTCTCTGGTAGGGACTTTGTCTTCCTTCCATCTCTGGGCCAAGAGATGTAGGAGATTCTTACATGCCATAGATAACCAGGTGAATTTACATTTACAGAACAGGTAAAATTATACTCAGCAATCAGCTCCTTTTACTCTCTGCAGGCATAGACAACACAGTGCTGTAACACTGACAAAAAAAATTAAAGACCCTGTTGCAGAAATTTAAGCAGCTTGCAGCAGAAATAGCACACTGTGCTTGAGGAATTAACTTAACTAACACTTCAAGCTAAGGAGAGCAGTTCCTGAGCAGCAGTGGAGTCAGGTTCCTTTGCATCTTTAATGGAGTATGCAATTACATGCCATCTTGTCTTGCAATAGAGTTAAACTGCTGAGAACATCCATACATTTTTAGGGCTGAACAGATCATCCACATCCCCCGTGGAATTTGCAAGCAGTATCCATTTAAAGACCGAGGGCTACTGCAAAAAAGCTCCTGGAGACTGAATTGGCCTTAAGAGTGAGGTATAAAAGCCATCTGAATTACCTCCAACATGACTGTGGTCTCCTGAGCAGCAAGCAACATAAATATGTGATAAAATAAAATGAACAGCTTACTCAAGTTCTGCTGCTTACTAGTTATCATCATTTACATTTTCACCGTCCCTCTTACAATCGTCACAATTTTTGCTCCTCCCTAATCATATCCTCATTTCAGCAACGGAAGGGAAATGAGGGCAAAATTGAATTATTTGCTGGCAAATCAATTCTGGGTTAGTGATTCAGCAGGGATCTGTTCCCAGGTCTCACAGGTAGAAGCCCAATGCTGAAAAAAACAAAGTGTCCAGAAGATAAAAATATATAATAATAGACTAACATTTTAATGTGGCATTAATTATGGTGTAGGGGGATTGATTAGCTGTGGTTGGGCGGTCAGAGGGGCTTCTGGGTTGCTACTGGATCAGCTGCTGTGATCCTGCTTAGGTGCTCAGATAATAAACCTTAATAACATAGGCAGTCAGGACACAACAAAGACAGACTAAGCCTAGGAAAGGAAAAGGCAGGAGTTAGAAAAATGTGGGCTATGGAGGTTCCTAGGAAAGGTTGTTGAAACAAGGGAGTGGTCCAAACCAATGCAAAGAGGACAAGACCAAAGGGAGGGTGGGACAGTCAGAGAGGAGAACAGCATTGCACCAGGAGTTTGCATATAGAATTAAAATATTAAAGCCAGGTTTTTAGAAACCCTCTGTTAAACGTCTTTGAACAGCAGTGGACAACTCATGGTTTCTGTGCTAGAAAAGATTATTTTTGTGTAGAGAAGACATGTAAATAGCCATTTGTGATTCACTGACTTCATGACACTAACACAACTTTGTGAAGCGAAGTTGAGTTTTCACCGGAAAACACAGCAACTTAACATATCAATGTAAGCTGAAAGAACTGCAGAAGAGTTCGTTTTAACTAGTAATGGGTCCCTCTTTTAATACCCATGCTAGTTCTTCATTGGTTTTCTTGTAAAACTTCAAACCCCTAGATCTCCAAATCTTCACCTCTGCCTAATTCACTTTCTCCACCTTGCCAACCAATTAGCCCCCATACTGTGTCCTATCCTCTCACACCTGCCTTTGTGCTATGTTCTCCTCCTGCATCTGGCAACACACTGGCTTTTCTACCTTCAAATAACTATTCTTACTATGTCTGCAAAGTCTCCCTCCTACCAGTTCACCACCCTTTGCCTCACTTTATCCTCTCCTGCTCTCTGGACAGAGATCAGATACAGAACACAAAATTAACAGCTACCTCTGGTACACATCAAAAAGCAATAGGTGAAATAAATACTTTCCCCAAAGCACTATGGACTGTCTGATCAGGTGGTCTGTAGAGCTGCTGCACTAGTCAGGACATAGAAAAACCACTCCTAGGAAGGCTTACTGTTACAAAGTTGTGTTTTTGTGCTAAGAGCAACTTTTTAATACTCTCTGTATGCCACCTACAGTATTCACAACTCCTTAGAACATTAAAAATTGGTAAGACAGAATACACCACAATTAAAACCAATCAGATAATACGTTGAAACCATATGCAGAGTTTTGCAATTGAAGAAGGCCCTCTGCCCAGGTCTCACCAGCTTCATGAAGTTAAGAAGAAGGAATCAGGTTTGAAAAGTGCCATTTGTCTGACTGCGCTGAATAAATATTACCTTTGTATATCAGTATAGATATTGGGGGTGGGGTATTCTACTTCTTTCAGGCCATCTATTTTGACACCTGGAACCCACCCTTCCTTGCAAATGATGAACGTTAATCTGCCATGGGACTAAGATATGGGAAACCCTTTCAAGGGCAGGCTGAGTTGTGTGACTTTCAGATCCTCTCTGTCCTGTGGCTCCACATATCTTATTAGCTTCTTTCAAAACAGTACAGAAGTAATGAATTCGTATTAGCTCTTCACTGTTGGTAAAAGGAAATCTGGACCATATATTTATTCTTTTTTGTGAAATATTTCTTCAGAGTGGCCACAAGAGGTTGAACGCAGAAAGAGCAAAAAGTATTTAGAAAACTGAAGTAGTTCATATGGGAAGAAAGCAATGCATTTACTCAATTCTGTTTGTGGGAAGTAGGCACCAAAAGATGAGAATGAAATCAGAAGCCACAGGTAGGAGACACAGAATCCTAAGTGGATGGGAAAAAGTTAAGTTTCAAGAAAGGCCTCTCTAGACAAAACAACAGAAAAGCTTAACAGAGATAACAAGCAGACCCAGAAAGCATTACAGAAGTCTAGATGTAAGTGACAACTTGAATTTCTATTTTAAAGGCATCATTTAAAATGGTAATACAGTACAAAGTTAGATGCTTGTACTACATGGGGGCTACTAACATGAGTTTGTCCAAACTGCGGGAGGCAGTGGAAGACAGGAGTGCCTGGTGTGCTCTGGTCCATGGGGTCACAGAGACTTGGACACGACTAAACAACTAAGCAACAACTACATGGGGGGGATCAATATTACTGGCATTCAATTTTTAGATACTTCTATGTGCTCAAGCTGTGCACCCAGGTTTTTCTGAGCTCTCTTTACAATATAATTAGTGCATTACTTTTATTATACAAGTAGTGCCTATGTAAGAGCATAGGAATATCCTTTCTGGATCAGACAAGAAGTCTACCAAGTCTACCACTCTCAATAATACCAGCCAGCTGCCTCTCCCAAGGATGTGGAAAGAGCCGCTCCCTGTTTGCACTCATCCTCTGACAGAATTATACAACCCCTAATAGCTACTGGTAAAGCTATCTAATCTTCTTCTTTAATAGCCTTCTAAGCTAGTAGTCATAAAATCATGTGGCAATTAATAGAGGGCACAAGGTGAGGCATTTCAGAGTCCTAGATTCTTAACAACACTGAACAGCCAACTGCTGGCATTAAACTGGGGTTAAAGTACTGGGGTGAAGACAGATGTATTGGGACCATTGATTTCTAACAACACATTCCAGTATGCAAAATGCTTTATCGTTTCTGCCTTATTTATCTTCATGACAGGTGTGGCAGGGTACAAGGAGGAGAGGGGTTGAAAGTCAGATCCACCTACAGATATAGGAGGAAGGGAAGGGAATCAAATGAAATACAGACAGGCCACACAACTACAAGAGACAGGGAAAGAAGGAGAAACAACTTGAATTTTGGGAGGGAAAAGTACATACTGTCACCTTAATCTATGCAAAGGAGTGTGTGGGGTTTTAGAGGGAGGTAAGAAATTGTTTTGCATTGGAAAATAGGGAGAATGCAGAGAGCAAATGGGATCAGATCTACCTGGAGGGAGGGAGCATGCAGTCAAAGCAGGTCTACTTTGAAGTAGTCTCCAATTCATTCAATGGGACTTATTTGCTAGTAAACTGATAGGGGGTTACATCCTAATAGGAACAGGAAAATAGGAACATGAGGATAGGAACAGAAATGATATGGAGGAGGAGGAATAATAAGTATAAGGACCTTAGGAAAATGAGACTGTGGGGGGGGATCTATGCAGTTATGCTAAATCAAGATAAGAGGACTAGGAGGAAGGATTCTGCTGTCAAAAGTTAGGGAATGGGCAGGTTGTTATTATCATTACAGTATTATTATTATTATAGATTTGTATACCGCCCAATACCGGCAGGTCTCAGGGCGGTTCACAGGAGAAAATCACAATATAGAAACACTAAATACTTAATCAAAACGAAAACGAAAACAACCCAATAACACCCCCCAAAAAAAAAAAAACCCCACACATTTTAGAAGAGCACTGGATGTCACATTCCAGTTATGCACTTGCCTCCTTTATCTTTCAGATCCTCTGACACAAACCCAGTGAACCATCATTTTTAAAAAGCCATCGGGGGAGAAGGCTGGGCTTCCAAGACTCTCTTCCTTCTGCAGAGGTTCTACTAACTTATTCCAGTATCCTCCATTAGAAGGGAAACCTGTGAACAAGTACGCTTGAGAAATGCCCCCCCGCCCGCCAAGGGATGTAGTAACGCAGAAAGCGCGTAGGAGAAAATCAGGGATTGGAAGTCGGTGGGGGGGGGGGGAGGAAAAGGAAGAGGAGCGGAGCCACGAGGCGGGGGAAAAAAATCCGAAACAGACCCACGTGGAAAGCGAGAGGGCGGGAGAGGGGCGAGGAGGCGGTTTCCATGGAGACAGAGGAAGAGGCGCGCGATCGGCGCAGGGAGGGAAGGTGGGCGGGGCCAGCCCATGTGCCGAGGGGGCGGGACGCAGCGTTCCCTCAGAAGCGAGCCAATCAGGAGCGAGCGCAGCTCACACACTGAGGGGGGTGGCGGTTGGTTGCGCGCGCGGCGGGGGGGGGGGCGGTTGTGAGGGAAGGGTTTTCCCCCCACTTTCCTCCCGCCTTCCCACGTTTAACGGATAATACTCACCGCACTGCCCCCCTCTCCCGAAGCTGAGGGGAGGGACCGATGTGGGGCGGCGGCAGCAGCGGCAGCGCCCGCAGGGACCAGGCTGAGGAGGCGGCTGAGGAGACGACAACCGCCGCCGGGCGTGCGTCACGCGCGTGCGCGCGGCCCCCCCGCCCACTCCGCGCAGTGACCCGGATGTACCGGGCTAGGCAGGGCGGGCTCGCTCTGGAGGCGGCGGCGGCGGCAACGGGTCGCCGGCGGCGGCCGACGCTACTGCGCATGCTCGCTCGGCGCGGCAACCTAAAACATAAAAAAGAAACGCGCCCGCAGGTGATCTTTATGTTTCTCGGCTCGGGCGGGTGGACGGGATTAGTCCCTCTAATCCGTTTTCTCTTAAAAGCGGTTAAATCTCGGGATGATTTCGGGAGGGGATCGCCTGGGGCTTTCCACACACCCCCTCAACACCTGATTAAAATGGAGAGGATTTGAACGATATGGTTAAAATTAATAATATTTCGTATTTATTTATGCGCTGCCTAAAGATCAGCTAACCTTTTTTTCAAGAAATAAAAATCATTTTAAAGAATCCATTGAAACATGAATAGAATTAAAACTGTGCGTGTGGGTAAATCTTTGTATCTATATCTTGCATTTATAGCTTCGATTTTCCCTCTTTCCAAACGGTTTGGAGAGCACACACGTGTGTTCCTGTGCATGTGCAGAGAGCACATGGCAAAAGCTGGCGCAGTCTCCTGGGTTGCCGGCATCTTCCAGCCATGAGCCTCATTCATGGCATGTTTCAAGAAGAAGTGCTAGCGATGATTGGTTTAGTTTAGGAAAAGGAGGCAACGTGGAAAAACAAAACAAAAAAACTTCGCTCTCTGAGGATATTGGCATGCCAGGCAAACTTCCCCAGCTAGACCCCTCGCCTGCTTCTTCTGGGCAGCCACCCATCCGCTTGAAGATGCATTGCGCCTTTTGCTACCTGAAGTCACAAGAATAACCCCAACAAGTAATAATAATAATAATTTATTATTTATACCCCGCCCATCTGGCTGAGTTTCCCCCAGCCACTCTGGGCGGCTTCCAACATAATATTAAAATACAGCAATGCCTCAAACATTAAAAGCTTCCCTAAACAGAGCTGCCTTCAGATGTCTCCTAAATGTCAGGTAGTTGTTTATCTCTTTGACATCTGGTGGGAGGGCATTCCACAGGGCGGGTGCCACTACCGAGAAGGCCCTCTGCCTGATTCCCTGTAACCTCACTTCTCGCAGTGAGGGAACCGCCAGAAGGCCCTTGGCGCTGGACCTCAGTGTCCAGGCAGAACGATGGAGGTGGAAACGCTCCTTCAGATATAGTGGACCGAGGCTGTTTAGGGCTTTAAAGGTCAGCACCAACACTTTGAGTTGTGCTTGGAAACATACTGGGAGCCAATGTGGGTCTTTCAAGGGGCAAGTCCTCACTGAGGAGGTGAACTGAGGCTACTGCTTTGGAGTGGTGGAATCCCCAAACATAGAAGACGGGGGGGGGGGGAGAGAGAGATAGGCAAAAGCTAAATCCCTTCCCTAGGACCAACTCCAGGTTAGAGGGGTCTTTGGTTGTCTGAATCCAGGCACAAGCAGTTGCCCAGAGCACCAGCTGCACAACTGAACAGCTGTTTGTGCCAGTAGTAGCCACAGGCTTGCCCAGTTGGCAAAACTTAAAACAGCCTTCTCCTCTCCCAAACAGCTTTTCATTTAATCAAATGGCACCAGAGCTCTATTCACACATCTGCATGTTGGGTACAGTATTAAGCAGCCTCTGGTTTCAGCCCAAGGAAAGGGTGGCTCTCTGGATGTTATGGGACTCCCATCATCCCTGACCTTCAGCCACGCTGGTTAGTGGGTCACAAGTTTCCCATTCTGCTATAAAAGCACCACATAAGAGGGTGTCTCTGAGTAAGTGACAATACTTACTTGGCTGCCTCGTCTGTGAATAAGTTCAATTATCTCCATCAGTTGTGCCACACTGATTTGCTGCTGTTTTTATTACGTCTCGTGATTTTATTGTAGCTTTATTTGTATTGTGGTACTTCGCCGCTCAGGGGACGCGGGTGGCGCTGTGGGTAAAAGCCTCAGTGCCTAGGGCTTGCCGATCGAAAGGTCGGCGGTTCAAATCCCCGCGGCGGGGTGCGCTCCCGTTGCTCGGTCCCAGCGCCTGCCAACCTAGCAGTTCGATAGCACCCCCGGGTGCAAGTAGATAAATAGGGACCGCTTACTGGCGGGAAGGTAAACAGCGTTTCCGTGTGCTGCGCTGGCTCGCCAGATGCGGCTTTGTCACGCTGGCCACGTGACCCGGAAGTGTCTCCGGACAGCGCTGGCCCCCGGCCTCTTGAGTGAGATGGGCGCACAACCCTAGAGTCTGTCAAGACTGGCCCGTACGGGCAGGGGTACCTTTACCTTTACCTTTACTTCGCCGCTCACCCTCGGACCTTTTGGTGAATAATAAATCTCAAGAATACATAATAAATCAGGGCATCATTGGCTGATTTAGGATTGCCACATCCCTGCTGTTTCTTTGACAGGTGAGCTTGGCGGAAAATCAAACAGGTGATGTCTTCAACGCCAGGCTGAGCATTGCTTCACCTGTTTAATTTCCACCTGCCCTGCTACTGATAACAGCACAGGAGCTCTGTCACGGAGGAGTCAAACTGTGGCAACCCTCCGCTGGCATCTCAAGCACCTCCTGCAGTTTGTTTAGTCGTTTAGTCGTGTCCGACTCTTCGTGACCCCCTGGACCAGAGCACGCCAGGCACTCCTGTCTTCCACTGCCTCCCGCAGTTTGGTCAAACTCATGCTAGTAGATTCGAGAACACTGTTCAACCATCTCGTCCTCTGCCGTCCCCTTCTCCTTGTGCCCTCCATCTTTCCCAACATCAGGGTCTTTTCCAGGGAGTCTTCTCTTCTCATGAGGTGTCCAAAGTATTGGAGTCTCAGCTTCACGATCTGTCCTTCCAGTGAGCACTTCCACTACTGGGAAAACCATAGCTTTAACTATACGGACCTTTGTTGGCAAGGTGATGTCTCTGCTTTTTAAGATGCTGTCTAGGTTTGTATCTCCTTCAGTTAATAACTTGCAAATCCCAAATGGCTGGTGCAGTATCGCACCAATGCCAGGCCATAATAGTTTCACTGACCCAGCAACCTCATTATCTTCAGACGGGGAGATTTCTCAGCACCAAGAAAGCTTGTAGTTCTACAATTTTCAATCAGAAAGATGCCCCCGGCTCAAACTGCATATTTGATATTTCCGACCTGATTTCACCAACGGTACTTGGAAACGGGGTCAGAGAGAGAGGAGGCCCAGGCACCAATTGCAATACATCACTGTAACCCACCCTCCAACTGAAAAGCAGTTAAAAGGCACAGGCAGGGGCCTTGTGACCCTCCAAATGTTAGATTCCAATTCCCATCAGCCCCAACCAGCATGTCAAATGACCAGGCATGATGAGAACTGTAGTCCAATAATATCTGGAGGCTTCATACCACTGGCTTAAGGAACAGCAACCAGGAGGACCGCAAAAATAAACACGGCATAAGGAGATATTATGTGTGAGTATATGGGAGGCTGATCCATATTTTCTACAGAGCCGCCGGAACCACGTAACACTGGTCCTGAGAGATCTGCATTGGCTCCCAGTACATTTCCGAGCACAATTCAAAGTGTTCGTGCTGACCTTTAAAGCCCTAAACGGCCTCGATGCTCTACCTGAAGGAGCGTCTCCACCCCATCATTCTGCCCGGACACTGAGGTCCAGTGCCGAGGGCCTTCTGGCAGTTCCCTCATTGCGAGAAGTGAGGTTACAGGGAACCAGACAAAGGGCCTTCTCGGTAATGGTGCCCACCCTGTGGAACGTCCTCCCTTCAGATGTGAAGGAAATAAGCAGCTACCTTATCTTCAAAAGACATCTGAAGGCAGCCCTGTTTAGGGAAGTTTTTAATATTCAATGCTGTATTGTTTTTAACACTCGATTGGGGAAACTCAGCCAGATGGGCGGGGTATAAATAAATTATTATTATTATTATTATTATTATTATTATTATTACAGAGCAATTGCAAATCTGGCATATTGTTGTGCCTGGACAGTGGTTAATGGGGACCTTCCCATCGTCCCCAATGCCTAAGTAAAAGGGAACAGAGGAAACTTGTTGGCTGTTATAAACATTACTGGCTGTTATAAAAGGGAGAGACAGAGAGGAAAATTGAGCTTTATGATTGCAAGAACTTAAAAGTGAGGAAACGCAACCTGTTCTAGAAAGAAAGAAAGTAAACCTACTATGCAGAAGCAGCTGATAGGCTCAGCATTATTTCATTTCATTTTATTTTTGGATATCTCCAAGCTTTGATTAGTCAGTCTCTTTGATCTCTGTAAGTTCGCTCTTGTCTCCGACATATATGGCATTAGGAAAGTAGTCCCATTGGGGCTTGGGCTGCCTTCTGGAGCTTTTCTGCACTTAATGAGAGAGCTGGTGCAGCAGAGATGCTAACTGCAGGGGCATGGAATCCCTCCCCCCCCCTTCAAATTTCACCCCAACCATGAACTTGCAAGATGTCCTCAAGGCCAAGCCTTGGTCCCCTCAGCCCTTACTCTCCATGTACAGCCAGTTTGCAGAAGCTACAACTAGGTCACGATGATGAAACCCATCCAACGGCGTCCGGAAACCAGACTGTGCAGCTTACCAGTGGCGTGGCACAATCCGAGGAGCTGAGCTTGACATTTCTAAACCAGGTGTGGGTGACCTGTGGCCCTCCAGGTGCCATTGGGCTCCAACTCTCATCAGCCTCCGCCCCGGTTAGCATGCGCGGAAGTCTGGGACAACGAGGGTTGTAGTATATATCTCAAAAGTGGGCAACCAAAACGATCAAGGCTGGATCAAGTCCCTTAAAAGGAAAGTTTGGGTGACTTTCTTGTTTGTTTGTTTGTTTGTTTGCTTGTTTGTTCGGTTTGTTTTTTAAAAAAATGGTAAGATGGACATTTTTCTGTCTCGGATAATAGTACAACCCGAAGTTATCCAATGAAGAAGAATACATGGTACCTCTGGATGCGAATGAGATCCGTTCTGGAGCCCTGTTCACATCCTGAAGCGAACGCAACCCGCAACCAACTTCTGGGTTGCCACGGAGCGCAACCCGAAAATATTCATCCCGAAGCATATTTAACCCGAGGTATGACTGTAGTATAGGGACGTGGGTGGCACTGTGGGTTAAACCACAGAACCTAGGACTTGCCGATTAGAAG